AAAACTGTTATATCCCAACTTGATTCTTCAAAATTTTATAAGTATAAGTGTTTTATTTTTAATTTTACTTGATCGGTTTTGATTCCTAATATTTTTTTTTTCATAATACTTAACATCGTTAATAAAAAAATTATATATAATTATCTTATTAAATTTTTAATGATGTAACCAACATCCACTAACTTTATTATTTGGTAACAAAGATTAAAATCATTTCTATTATATATATATATATATATATATATATATATATATATATAATAAAGGAGGTAAAAATGTGTTTGGTAAAATAATTAGAAAAAAAGTTTAGTATAAAAAATATTAGACTCATTTTTTTTTCACTTGATAAAATTATTAATTTATTTTCTTTATATTTTGTATTTAAATATAATTATTACGTGTTAATTGTGTCAAAAAATTACACTATCAACCAATTAAAAAATTACCATTGGTATGGATTATAAGTTAGTTACTCTAGAATATTTGATACAAATGACAGATTTGGATCATTAAATAGTATATTATTAATAAATAATAAATAAATTATAAATTAAAATTATAAATATATAATTAAATATGAAATATAGGAAATTAAAATTATATATATATATATTCTCATCCCAATCAAAATTAATGTTTTTTAAATAATTAAAAAAATTATTTATGATTATAACAAATACATAACTTGAATTTGAAAGAGAAATAGAAGATTAAAATAATATTTTAGATATTTGGTTAAATTAAAATGTTTAGAGATTGAAGTAGGAAGAATTGGGTATTTATCCTTGATTCTGAAGCTGATTTTTTAATAAAAGAAAACCTAAACCTGTGAAAGAATCAATTGTCATCCTACTTAAATGGTATGGTCTAAAATCATTTTCACACATTCCAAGATTTTTTGATGAAAAAGAAAAACATGTATGTATTTTCCGGCAAAAGAAAATGTGAAAGGAAACAATGAAAGTATGGCTAAGGCAAAGAGAAGGGCCCTCAAAGCTCATCGGCTTCGTCACTAAAACCCTTTCTTAACCAAAACTTTTGTACAAGATAATTTCTTTCTGCTCATCCAATCACCATCAAAATAGAAGAAAAAAACCACAAGGCAAAAGAAACTATCTCTTCTTTGTGTTGTTTCGCGATTGCATTGGATAACAACAAAACAAGTATAGAAAGCTACATATAAATGAGATAGAGAGGATGGGCTTTTCATGGAATTGTTGAATATGGAACCTTCATTCATGTAAATGAGACCTTTCACATGTGTGCTCGTGTTTCCTTCAGCACCAATATTTCGTGTCTTTGCTTAAAAGATTAGATTCCAATTTCTCTAATCTGTGATGCAGAGTGAAATGGAGACATAAAAACAAAAGCTTTATACGACTCTCTCATAAAACAACAGATCATGTTTTGTCCTAATGTCCACACCACGTTATCCGCATACCCTAACTTCCACCTTGTTTCTTTATTAATACATCACCAAAAGCTACTTCCATTTTTACACCAACATTTTAATGTCACTTAATGTGTCAAATATCCAATAGTTGAAGGTTCGAAGCAGATTAAATTAGCACGTGGCACAAATTATTTGCTACGGTTATTTCGTGGAACCCTACTTGCATGTTATTTGCATGCACACAATGTGATTCACTAGTACATCCATAACGCAAGCCACTATCCACTTCATAATATTATATTTTATTTTTCTCTTTTTTCCAAAACTCATCCAGACTTTAGTGTTAGATGATTACGTGGCTTGATATGACGTATAGTGTGTTGGGAAACAAAAACATGGAGGGTGCCACTACGACGTGACACGTGGGAGGTTAAGAAGGTCCATACCTTTTAATCGTAGGGTGGGTAATAGGACCTATCTCAACACTATTCTCATTTTTAATTATACCTTGGATTGGGTACGTGAGGTGGACGAGGACGTTATCCACACTTTGTGATTGACTATTCTTTGGGTCCAATTCCAACATCATCAACATCTTCTTCTTCAACCTCAACCAACCCAAATACAGAGGTTCAACATTCACCATTTTTGTACCCTCCAATGTAAAACCACATATGTTTTAAAATGGAAAAATAAACCTTTTATGAAAACAAATATTAATAATTCAACAAACTACATCCTCTCACATATTCTTCTAACTTACAACGAAATGATGGGCTATTTTTTGTTCCATTCTTGAGGCTATAAGACTAGAGAAATGGAAGCCCAATAATAGGCCCACATTTAGAGGCACACCAATAAACTTGGCACCTTCTGAGAACAATAGAGCAAACATTCATTGACAATTGATCGATCCTCCACAATTTGAATTCGTCACAAATTGTATTTTCTTTCTCTTAAATTTTTATAATTTTTAGGATTTAGGGTTTGCATCAGAGCATAATAAAGCAATATGTATCCTTCGTGGTGCTAGTCTTTCACAAATAGTTGAATTAGGGTGTAAATACTTACTAGAAAAAGTAGTCACCTTTAATGTCTAATCATATATATATATATATATATATATATATATATATATATATATATATATATATATATCACAATTAGATATTAGTAAAGATATTCTTGAATTATTCAAACAGTATGAGATGCATCAAATGACCAGCTCAAATACGGATTGTGTTAATGCAAGTTGTTAATTAATTTTAATGATGATTAGTACAAAGTTAGAAATAATGATATTTATAGACCAAGAGTTTGATTAAGAATACAAACATTTTTGTAGATAATCCATTTAAATATAAATAATAGAAAATAGTTTGAAATATAAAGAATGATAGTAGGAAGAGTTTACAGTTACTCTTTCACAAGAAAGATTCCAAAGAAGCAACCTTTTTTTTCTTACTTGATTTAATGAGTGCATATGTAAAGAATTTTTTCATAAATGAAAATTTTAGAAACCCTTGTATTTTAATTTTGACATAAAATCTAATCGTATTTAACTTACAACTAATAACTGTGATTAGAACATGCTTGTTAAGAGGTAAAAGGATTTTGTCTTACTATCCAATATAAAAAACTACAATATACTAAATATTATCTGCTATGTTTGGAAAATTTACTGCTAATAATTTATAATTTTGATTTACTTATGTATTTTAAAATAAATATATATTAAATATTAATTATATTTTAATTCAAATAATATATTAGAATCGATATCATCATTATATATAAAAATATTTTTTTTCATGCATAAAATAATTTTTTTATAATTACTTTTAGTATCATTGTTTATAAAATTAAATAAAATTCACTATTTTTATTGTAATATGAAGAATATAAAAATAATAAAATAGTTATTATAATATTTAAAAGATTATTATTACGTTATATATTTAAACAGAAATGAGAGGAAAAAATATAATAATTATAATAATAATAATTATTATTATATTATAAAATAAGGATAGAATAAAATAAAATTTTTATTATGAGTGGTGGAAATATGTTTATATTTTTTTATATTTATTTTTTTATTTTATTTTCTCTTCCCATTATTTAAATTTATTTATTTATTATTATTATTTTTAAATATATAAATCATATTAATTATTTTTTCTTTAAATTAAAACAACTTTATTTTTCTTTCTTCAATTAAAAAATTTAAATAAAACTTGATAATATTAAAAAAGGACACGTAAATGTAACAAGTCTGTGTCTTCACTGATCAAGGATTATTTTTTATGCTATTTGTTGATATTATTTTTAGGTAAACTAATTTTTTCCTTTATCAAATAAAAATAATTAACTATTTAATAAAAATATAAATTAATAGCTTCCCCTTCTTATAACTAACTACATATTTCACCCAAATCAAAACTCTTAAAAACCAAAACATAGATGTTGAAGAGTTTATCTAAATGTGACATCATTTTATTAAATTTTTTAAAATAATAATAATACACATATTTTATTTAAAAATATAAAATTAAAATTAATATAAACATTAAATTATAATTTATTAAAATAAAATAACATAACATAATAAAAATAACAGCACACAGACGTGGTAATATCTTTGTTTCCGTTAATAAATAATAAAGAAATTAAAAATAAGAAAATAAGAAAATTATATTTTTAATTAAATAATAACTTTAAGTTTTTTATTTAATTAAAATAATTAAGCTAAATAATTTATATTTTAAAATTGTAAAAATAATAAAAGTATAACAACAAATCTTTAACATATATGTTGTAAAAAAATTATATATATAAAAAAATGTAATCAGAAGGGAAGGAGAATGAGACAGGTATTTATATAATCTTCTCTATCCCCATCCCCATTTAAATAAATAAGGATTTATATGTACTCCCTTCAGAATATTTTATCAAAATTTGGACAAAATTTAGAAGAGTATTATATTTTTTGTGAGACTGGAACTAAGACATGAATTGGAAACATCATTTTGATGTCATCAAGGTATAATTATATGGCAAGATGATGTTTACAAGTTCAAGTTCATTAGTTCTATCATCTTAAAAGGAAAAAGAAAAAGAAAAATCCTAAATTGCATAAGCAAGTTTATTTAGAAATCTATAAACTTGATATTGATAAACAAGAAATAAATCAAGTTTTTTTTTATTACTTTTAATTGTGATCATAAATTTTATTTTTTGAAGATAAACTTTTGTGACTTGAATTAATATATATGTGTTCATAGATTTGTATATTTTGAAATGTTAATATTTATTCAGCGGAACAACCAACTTCTCTTCCTATGACTAATTTCAAATATATAATGTGTTAAGAATGAGCTAGAAATTTATAAATAATGAAACAGAAAAAAATGCATAATTTCTTGACAAAATCCTTTATTGGACATTCAAAACATTATTGAAAGTAAGAGGGATGAAAGAAATATTTAATTATTATTGTTTGTGATTTGATGAGTTTACAAGAGTTTACATATCCTAATATAACACATTTGAAAAGAAAGCACTTCATTCAGTCTATGATATCTGAATACTCCTTCTCATTCTCTCTCTAGTTTGTCTCCTCATCAAACAAGGCTTTAATAACTTCTATATCCCAAACCTACATTATCATTAATGAAAAAATTCCATGTTAGAAGCATTTCTATATTCCAAATTTAATAAGGTGATAAATATTAAGTATGTTGACCCACCTGATCAGTAACTGAGTTACTTGCTGAGGAAACATTGTCCATCATGAACTTGTCCAAATCTTCTAAGTCAACAAATCCATCATCACCTTCCATCTAGATATCACAAAAATTGGGTTATGTGGGTGAAACAAACTTACTCAATCTACAATATCTGGTGAGACTCACCTTATTGGAGTTCTTGTCAGAGCTTGTTGGGAACTCGTTTGACAGGTTTATTGTGGCTTCAGTTGGGTTCACATTCTTGTCACTACTAGCACTGCTGTTAGACTGTTGCATTATGAGGATTGAATCAAATACTAACTAAAATGTCGTAACCAAGTGGAAAAAAGCAATTCCAATTTTCTTACATTTTATCATATTATAAGAGTCACTACACGACATTGTTAATTATAACAACAGTCAAAATTACTAGCTGGTGTAGATTCATATATCGTTCTCATTTTTCATGGTATACAAGAGTTATCATTTATGCATCGTTTTGTTTTGGTAGATTTGCTTTACATATATATAAAGCTTTTTCTAAATCTGGCTTACCTCGTTAAGAAGATTCATTTCATCTAGTATCATGAAAAGATCAGAAAGGCCGTCTTCTTCCAGGTGACAAATGTTCAGCTCACTGATTGGAGTAGCATTGTCATTTTCTGCAACACTTTCATGTACTTGTTGTGGCAGTTGTAGGTTCCCTGAAATATTTTCTGCTCTACTTCCATTATTGGTGATCAATGCCGCTGGAAGTTCACTTGACCTGTCCTCCCCGTTACTAGAAGCAGAAGTAGAAGTAAACCCTCTTTGAGCGAAACCAAAGTTTCCTTGGCCCAAGGGTGCCACATTCCTATTTGTATTTTGTGTGGTGGCATTGATCAAGCCAAAGTTGTTATTTGCAGTAGAATCCATAATACCAACAATACTGTTAAACCCTCTTTTCATTCCATTTCCAATCATTTGTGATCCACCATTCAATTGAATGTTTTTGTTGGGATTGTAAGTTGAACTAGAAGTCAAAGATAGATTATTACAAGAGTCATGCCAAGATCCCATGTTCCAATTTCTTTGATCATAGGTATATTTCTGATGATAATGTACCAATGAATCATAGTTTGGAGACATCAATTGATGGTCATCATATTTCACACCTCCCCTTAGGCCATTTGCAGAAGACATCCAGCCATGTGCCATTATTCCATCGGATGGAAAGACAACACCAGCATTGTTGTTGTAAGAGTTAATTGCATAATATGGTTGGTTTCCATAGCTTCCCAAAAGGTTTTGCTGGATATTATTGACCCAATCATTACTTCCAAAGCTTGATTCTACTCCAACTCTTGCTTGATTCAAAGAATTACCATACTGGTTCCTTGGATGGGAAAATTGATGACATCTTCCCAGTGGAGAACCAGCCACATAATTAGTACTTGAAACATGGTAAGGCTTAACAGCATTGGCTATTCCTTTATACCCTGTTTGATGTGTTATTCTTTTCATATATTGTTGCACAGGAACACGCAATTTGGAAGTTCTTGCTTGGAAGTCTCTAACCAATGATGCTGAAAGGCCAAAAGCAAACCTTGACCTCAGATCCCTGTTAGATAAGCCCTCAAGAAACCCTTTATCTGCTACTTTCCTCAGGAATATGCGATACTTCTGCAAGTGAGTTATGTGCGTACTAAAGCTTTAGAATGTGCAAGATGAGTATTACCCAAGAATATTGAACTTAGATGGATATCCACAATAGATCTTTATTAAGATTCTACAATGCATGTCATAGAATAGAAGCTAATTGTGTAGCAAGCAAACCTGTAAGTGACTAGCAACATTTTCTCTAGTCAAGTTTGGCACATTCATCACATCAAGAATCGCCTTTGGCACGGCCCCTGAATGAGTAGAAAAATAATCACATAATTCGAACGAATAACGTTAATCTACTATACAAGGGTTGTGATTTTTTCACATTCCCTTTCATAATTAGAACCAATTACTCTATCTTCTTCTTTACAGAATAATTATAAACATCCATTTTCTCTTCTATCTCATTTTTCCCTATATTTCATTGAGAGTTTTTGTTACATCACTTATCATACTAAATAATTTTTATTTTCTGTGTATTTCTCCTCCTTATACCAACCAACACCCCAAAATGGAGTGTAGATTTACAGGAACTCTTCTTTTTCTCATGTCTTGACATTTCAACTAAATTACAAGAATGCAAATGGAGTAGAAATAAAAAAGAAAATGAGAAACTCATTGCATGATCTAGAAACCAAAAGTTTGCAGCAGATTACTTACTCTCCAATCCAATTTGTTTTATAGCAAGCAGAAAGAGGTTGTGTAGGTATGTTGTCCAAACAACCTTTGGTTTCTTTACAAGCTGAGGTCTTTCTTCACTTTGGCCTTCCTCATTCATTTGGGTACTCTTTCTTGGACAATACTTCGTTTTTCTCTCATTCAAATTCGATGAAGTTGCAGAGTAAACATCTTGTATAAAAATGTTGTCACTTGGTAGTGACTCTCCTTCAATATGTCCAATAGTTAGTTTCCTTTTCCTTGAAGCCATAGCATACTGCCAAATATCTCTAAAGTCATCTGCGCAAAAGGGTTTCAGAATATAGCGTGTTGCTCCGTTTGCTAAACTACTGGATATCACACTCTCTCTTCTATCTGCAGACATTACTACATGAAACAAAAGAGAGAAATCTCAGCCAAGTTATGTTGCACTCTCTTACTTATGCTTGTTAATATGTGTTCTTCCAAGGTGTTAATTTTTCATTTGGGATAAAAATTAGACATAGAAAAGAAACATGTGATCAGAACCATAATAATAATAATAAAAAAAAAGTGAATACTACAGCAAAGAATTAAAATTAAAGAAAAAAAAAAAAACTTTCAAGAACAGAAAGCATGTGAGTTCATAGATGAGTTTAATGGTGAAGAATGAAACTCACTTATCACTGGTATATGGAATTCATTTTGAATAAACTTTTGAAAGTCAAATCCATTCATTCCTGATATATTAAATTCTGTAATAACCAGATCAACAAAGCCTTCAAACTCTCGAAGACTCTCCAAAGCATTAACGGCGTTATTGGCAGCGAGAACTGAAATTCAAAACCAAAGAGTGAAATGTATAAAGCACTAAAATTTAATTACATGTTTGCACCAAGAAACACAATTTTTTTTCTCACACTTGAATATTAGTTAGTTTGAAATCAATTATGTTCTAGACATGGTTGAGTATTATGTATTAACATTTCTCTTTCTGAAAACTCAATTTTAATTAATTTATTTATTCTAACATACCATTTATTAACTTCACACAAATATTATAGAAAAAATAATTGGAAAATAAGGATCAACTTTGTGAGCATGCCTTAATACATTAATATCAAGTCTGAAATGATTAATGGTTTCCAATTATAAGGATTAAAACAGTAAGATTCAAATTATTTATTTTTACAATTTTAAGGAGTGATTTGATGTTTCAAACAATCTTTAACCAATGATAAAGGTGAGTTAGCTGTTTTTTTAAGATGAAACACTCATAAAGTCTGGCGAAGATATGAAGAAATATTATTTGTTAATCAGATGTAATTAAATTTAATTGTATCCAACGAAGAATTAAAATATTTACCTTAATGTTATTTATTATACAATTTTGAATATTAAATATTCATTTTGATATTAAATAATAATGCTACTCAAATTATAGTATTGTATATTCCCAATGTTTTTAAATTAATTTCTTAAAAAATTATTTCGTAAACAATAGAAATTAAAAAATAATAATTTTATAAATACGTCTTCATTAGAGATTATTCTTATTATTTATAGTTGTAAGAAAATATTATATTGATTCCACACAACATTGTTTAAGAAAAAATAAACACAGAATCGCGTACCTTGATATCCCAATGTATTGAGTATATCAGCAAGTATTGTTAAAGAAGCATCATCATCATCCACAACCAAAACACTGATATTAAATCTCTTATCACCATCCATTTTCTTTGATTCTTATTACTGCTATTGTCTTCGACTTTGGAGTTCTCAAGAAACCCTCTGCGAGCAGAACATGGAAGTGTAAGCATATATAAAGAGAAGTTATTTTCTTAGCAAAAAAATGATGGTTAGAAGCACTTACATCTGTTACTTCATTTCTTCACGTAGAGAGAAACAAAAATAGAGAAAATCTTTTACAAGAAATAACTTGTATCCCTTGTATTTTCTGATTTATATAAACTTAACAATCTTTTTACCTTTTCAATTCATTTATACTTTTTTTTCAAATAGTCATACTAATATATGATATTCAATTCAAAAAATGTTTGGTCAAAATTTATTATTTATTATTTTTTCCATCTCTAATTGATTTTAGAGACAATTCCTTGTTTAGAAGATTTTACAATATTTTGCACTGCCTCTTTGCAGGTTACCCATTTAATTTTTACCAAAAACTTAAAACACTAAGAACTTTTTTAAAAGAGATTATCGGAACTTTTTATTTAATAATCAGTGTAAAATATACTATTATTTAATAGAAAATGAATATACACATATATACACGATTTTAAAAGTAATATTACTTTTTTCAATTTTATTTTTTCGCTGTAAAAGTTTTTACATCAAGAATGCATACATATTAAATTCGTAATCTTCTTTATATTTCTCTAATTTAAGTTAAGTTGACCAATTTTTAAATACAAAGGTTTTCTTTTTTCTAAGATACGAATTTTATTCTTTACATAAAAGAAATTAAGACTAATTTGTTTTTTTTTATTGTAAGTAATGCTAGTTTATTAATGAATAGGTTTAAATAAAATGTCATTTGTCAAGGTTTAAAATAAATTAGTGAATACTAAAAAGATGTGGGAGAGATTCTATAAGAAACAAAAAGTATGAGGATGTGAGTCCATATATGAAATATTTATTTGTTTGAGAGAACAAAATCTAGTATTACTTAAACCAAAAACTTATTAGTTGATTAATTTATAAGCTTTTTTAATTTTAATAATTTCTATATTAAATAATATTTAATGATTTATAATGTTAATTGGTGATGTTTCAAGGTTATTGTTTTACAAAAGTTTATTAAAGATTTTGTGAATTGATGTCTAGAAAGTTTATTAAGACGAGGGATAATTCACTAAAAAAATTTAAGTTAGAGACTTAAATAATAATTTATTTTATTGTTATTAAACTCAAATATTTAAAAAATATATAATTTTATTATAAAAATTATTTTTTAATTGTGTATAAATTATATAACATTAAAAAATAATTTAAAGATATTAATTTTCAAAGTTATTTATTTATAAAAAATCAATTAATAATTAATAATTGAATAACATTGATTAGTTTTTCTTCTTTTTATAAATTTCCTTTTTTCCTAAAATCAATGAATGAATCAATTTTTCCACTTTACAATTTAATACGGTATTGGCAGAAAATAGTCTTTGTGCTTTCTGGTTTCATTCTGTTCGCATGCGTCCAAAATATGCTGTCTTTTGATTAATTTTAAAATATATTATTTATATGCCAAAAATAATATTAAAATTAAATAATATAATATTGTAATAATTAAGTAAATGTCACATTAGAAAAGGTGATAAATAAGGAATTTTGTTGCAATATTACCTATAACAATGAAAAAAAATACTCCCTCTAGTTTAATTATAAGACATAATTAAAATAATAATAATAATAATAATAATATAAGAGATTTTACAATATTAGTAAATCTAACTTTTTATATATCTTTATTAAACAAATGATTATGTATTATTATTAATTTATTTATCGATGATTAATAAAGATACAAATGAAAAATTAATAAAAAAAATAGATAATTTTTTTTAACTTATATGATTTTGTCCAAATTCCCTTTTATGTTTCAAGTTGATTATGTTATACATGTCATCGAAATATAAACTCATTTACTAAAATATCTAATTCAGTCAAATAGTCAATCAAACTATACGTTGACGGATATAACTTTCAAACACACTTTAGTAATATAAAATAAGGAATCTTCATAGAAAATGTATTGAGATCCAATTATTTAAGGAGAATACATAATTAATTTTAATCAATGCATAATCTAAATTGACAATATTTTTAACAAAAAATAAAAAAATAACATATTGAAACGTAAAAATTATAAAAAAAATATTTTTATTATTTATATGAATTAAATTTGTGATATATACTTGAAATTATATATATATATATATATATATATATATATATATAGTTTACAATAATTTACATATTAAAATTAATATCAACAAAAATTTCTCTTCTTTCTGAATACGTTTAATAGAAGTGAATTAAATAAATAAATATGCTTAATAAAGTGAAAAAAATCAATTAAATTAATTAATATAATAAAAAGTTAGAAGAGTTAATATCAAGAAACCTAAATAATTAGATCATGCTGAGTTGGACCCACGAAGAAATTGATAAATGAATAAATCTACGCGTTTACGCGGAAACAAATGTAAAAAGAAATTAATGGACTTTTTAATAGTCTCTTCTACTGTTCCAGATATTAAATTCAATGTTTTCAAATATTAAATTAAATAAAATAATAATTTATGAAAAATTGATTATAATAGGAAAATCAATGGGCGGTTATTAACTGTCAACCGTGATTTAGAAACAATCTTGTCATTTTCTCAGAAAAGAAAAATGTTAGGTACTGTTAGCAACCGACACATGTCAAGCTTTTTAATTAAACTATCACACGTGTCAAAATTAGAATAGCAAGAGACCAAAGTGTGTTTATGAAATATTAAATGTGTCACAGTTTCATTTGATTAATTATGTGGGAAGGTAATTTATTGGTTTGATATTTGTTTATTTATTTTATTTAAATAATGTAAATAAAGATATTTTAATTTTGTGTAACTTAGTATTTGTATTTATTACATTTTTTTTGGCTTCATAAATATTGTTGGCAATACAAGTTGTTTTTTAGCTTACTTTTAAAAATTTATTTACTAAATATTTGGTTTTTAAATTGAGTAACAAAATTTAGAAATATTCTGAAATCTGATTTCAAAATTGAAAAGGGGACATTAATTTTTAAAATAATTTTCAAAAGTTACCCTGAATAAAAAATTTATTTTTCTTCTTTTTTTAATGAAAAAACATTTTTCATGAACACGAAACCAACACGGATAAGACACTTGTCCACATTTTGTACGATTTTGTAAACACAAATCAAAAGAATAAAAAAAAAATAAAAACTTGACGGATAACATTGTTAGGTATGTGACACGATTGATCAAACAAGTTTAATAAGATGATAAAACGCTGAAACAATGATTCACATCTTCGTGAAAAGAAAAAATGTTTCACCGTATAAATAAAAAATCTAAAACTCTAAGGAAGTGACTCAATTTATTTTTTAAGTGAAGTGGTGATATATTATATATTATTATGAGTATTTCAAATTTTGTCTTGTAGTAGTATTCGTATAGTTTACATGAAATCCTAATATGGAAGCTGCTTTCATCGAAGAAGAGAAAAACAAAAATAAGTATTCGTCCAAGGAAACGTGATGTACGTATGTGGAAAGTAGTAGTTATTTGTTTGGGGTATGAAAAGTTTTGGGAATTAACTATGCATGCATTCTGGGAACATAGGAAGATAGAAAAGGAACGCGCAATGCACACCTGTGAAAAGTTGTCTTTGTTCTTCCCCCAAAATTCATCACTTTCCATACGCGAATCCAGCTAACGTTTTGTTCCTCTCAACGGAAAACAACCTCAGTTTAGCATCTCGCCTTAGTTGTCTTCTCCTCCTACCTCCACAATTCCCTACCTTACGTCACACTCCTACTCCAAAATCAAAATCTTTTATTTATTTATTTATTTATATATCTACTTAATCATTCTTTTATTACGAATTTGTTTTATTGAATTCTCAGTGGAACAGGTTGGGATTTTGATTTTTATAACCATGGTTTGAAGTGTTAATGATTCTTTTTTTAAATACTTATATGGAAGACTGTCACTGTCACCGAATCCCACACAATATCCAATGACTCTGTCAAACGCACACATGGCAAAATCAACTCCCTAACTCAATGCATCACACGCACACTTTCTCATCACTTTCCTTTTTCATTTTCAGAATCAGTCAAAACCCCATCACAAGGTCCCCAACCAGCCAACAAGCTGGCTCCTCTCAACACACTAAATCTCACTCACACTCCGTCTTAACACTTACTCTCTTCAAACCGCACCATTCATATCTATATATGCTTCCCTTAGTTCCCTTCATTTATTATTCCCCAACTCTCTCTTCTCCGACACCAAAATTGATCCAAAAGAGAAGAAGATCAAAACACCCTTTAAATCATCATTAAACTCGCTTCCCTCTTTCCCTATCAAATCCACAACATTCTTCTTTGGATCTACTACAACCCAAATCTTTTAACTTGGTCTTAGAAGTACACTACCATGATCACCTTCAACCACTCTTCTCAATTGTACCATGTTTCCCCTGAGCTCAACTCTTCTTTCGATTCCTCATCTCCACCCTCGGAGACCTCTCGCGGTGTGGCATTCTCCGACGAGGAGGTTCGGTTGGCTGTGAGGCATCCGAAGAAGAGGGCGGGGCGGAAGAAGTTCCGGGAGACACGCCACCCTGTGTACCGGGGAGTGAGGATGAGAAACTCGGACAAATGGGTGTGTGAGGTGAGGGAGCCAAACAAAAAAAGCAGGATTTGGCTAGGAACTTTTCCCACCCCGGAGATGGCGGCGCGGGCTCATGATGTGGCGGCGATGGCTCTCAGAGGCCGGTATGCCTGTCTCAACTTCGCTGACTCAAGGTGGCGGTTACCGGCCCCTGCCAGCGCCAGCGCCAAAGATATACAAAAGGCAGCAGCAGAAGCTGCAGAAGCTTTCAGACCAAACCAAACTTTAGAAAACACTAACAGAGGGCAAGAGTGTGTGGAGGCGATGACAACAACAGTGGAACAAGGTGTGTTTTATATGGAGGGAGATCAGGAAGTGTTGGATATGCCTGAGTTGCTTAGGAATATGGTGCTCATGTCCCCATCACATTGCTTAGGGTATGAGTATGAAGATGCTGACTTGGATGCTCAAGATCCTGAGGTGTCACTATGGAGTTTCTCAATCTAAGAACGTGTTTGGTTTGTTTCTGCTGCAAGTTTTGAAGTGTGGAGTTTCTGTACTGTTATTTTATTATTAGTACAGATACTATTTATAGGTAGAAAGATTGAGAGGGACTAAAAAGATCTTCTTTGGTAACCCTTTTTGTCAAAGTATCATGTGTATCAAGTGCATCCCTTCAAGTTTACATATGTATAAATTAAATAAAAGAAGAATCTGGTTTTGGTTATTGATGTTTGTTAAAGTGGAATCTTAAAGTGAGACCTCGTAGAACCGTGATAGCTGACCATCATAGTGTTTTTCTTTTGCCAAGTGTAAGATGGGTCCATCAACAAACAAACTAGGATCACACTCTTATCCTCTAAAGATATTATAAAAGTTTAGCTTGAAAAAAGTAGATTAGAACTAGAACTCCTTGTCCTGATCTGAATTGGATTGAGTCAACCCATTCAAATAGAAACTTGTACTCATCTCAACAGTTCTTCAAAGTCTTCACAGCTTGAATCTTATGTTGAAAAATTGACCCCTGACCCTGCAATAATGCCGCAATTATTGAAGAGAAATTCTTAGAAATAGAAAGTATGTCTTTGAACTTTCCTTCGGTTACCAAATTCCCTTTTTCTCTTACAATATGAGCCACGTTGCCCTCCTTGAACACGGTTGAAACACAGTTTAATGACCCACTCCCTCTTGCAATTTTCTGAAAAATTATACTCCTAACTACATCTCTAATTGTGTATCACCAATATAGATATTTTTTTTTTTATATTATGGTTTTTATAATTTGTTCATACAGTAAGATTTGAGTTTAATTGATATACAGTAACAAAATTCAGATTAATGTTGATTTTCCTTTTTTCTATGGAAAATATTGTTTACATTAACACCAAAAAGCATGTTCAACAGAAGAGAAGAGAAATAATAGGAAAAAGAAACTGCAGAACATTGTATTTCTGAGAGGAAAACCATGAAGAGTAAAAAAAGAGAAGCAGACAAAAGGCATGGTGAAAAGTGTCAGACCAAACCTCAATAGGTGATGGATAACTGCTTAACATGTTTGGTTTGGCTTCACATTTGCCAAAATCAATTCAGACTTTCCACATTGGAGGCAAAGCAAAACATAATTGCTTCCATCTTTTCATGGTGCCACCGTGATCTTGGGTCCCTCATGGCCAAACCAAACACACTATCGGCTCTCTTGAATACCCTTGGTGAAGGAAGGTGCTGCCACAATTCCTCCATGACAAATGGCATAAATAGCAGAACAGGACAAACTTTTCCATAACAATTTTTATGAAAGAAAAATAAATAAATATTTTTTTCTAAATTCTTAGGAAAAAATGTATCAAAATATACCCCAAATATTTGATCGGGTGATCTAAAGTTTGATATTTGTTGCTTCCATTAAATTTCAGCACAACATTGTGATTGTGAAAGGGGTTGGTTTGACCTCTTTGCTTTAAAAAATTAAAATAGTAGTGATCCTGTAGTGGAAAAGTGTTAATTGATCTTATATCACACCAATTTTAATTAAATATGAGATAAATATGTATAAATATATAGTTAATTATATAAATTTAAATTCCTAGAAATTAGGTAAGTGTCTTTCTTACATTAATCTGATGTCCTGATTTAAGTTAATTATAATTTTTGAGAATAATTATAAAAGTAGCATATTCTTAATTGTATAACAAAATATGTTGACATAGCTCGAAATATCGGAGAAATATTGAATAAGGTCATTCTCACCTCTTATGTCCAGAATCAAACTTGATTTTAATGTTTTTTTCTCAACGTATTGATATGTGAAACATTTATAAATTTTGTTGATAATTAGTTATCGGCAAAGAAAATTATTAACCCCTTTTTCTCAATTTCTCAAACCAGAAAAAAAAAACCCTAAAGTTGACCTGTAAATTGCTTCAATCTTGAATTCCTGACTTGACTCTGAACCCAAAACTCATGCCAAATATATGTTAGTGTTTTTTCTTTCAAGTGTGGTTTAGAATCTAAGCAACTTCAATTGTTTTGAACAGGCGTATAAAGCATTGCAAATGAATTATAATTCCACTAAGAAATTAAGTCTCATACAAGAGGAAAACAAAAAGTTACATGATCAAAGGCACAGAAACCATCGTGTTAAGCCTTTCAAATAAACGCATACACGAGGAAAATAGAGAAGAAGTTCTGATGTACAAAATCAAAGTATGCAGGAAGCAGCATATGACATGTTCTTCATCTGATAAAACCTGTCAGGTTGTCTCATCAACACTATTTTACCTTCTTAAGCATAGCTGAGGTTATAAACTCAGCATCATCCCTTACAAAACTCCACCAAAGAAACGTGAGAGGAATGCTTGTTGCATGCCATAGTGCATGAGCATCCACATAACCCATGTAAGGTGGGAAGTCATATGTTTCCAACACCATAGCCAAGCCTCCTCCAACCACCACTGTCCACAACTTCCATCGTGCTGGATGGTTCGAAGCACCGGCCCAAATGGCCCAAATAAGAAGCTGGACAACCACCATTCCCATGCAAACTATCCTGTTCAAACCTGGGGGGGAAAAGTCAACACATCAGCTCAAGCCACCATAACAGTCAGGTGTGGAGGAAATCTTGTTTGGATATATTTTTCCATATCACTTGTGAATTGGTTTATCTTGTGGAAGAAACTCACTTCATTTCATCTAATTTTCTTCCCCTATAAGTGTTAATGAAATTTTTTATCCAAACAGGTAAATGAATGAGAAAAGGAAATGCATCTTCCATCACTTTCAGCATCGTTAAAAAAACATGAAATTCAGATTAAGGATACAAGTTGTCACAAAAGCAATCAAGGAAGCATGACGCACTACTCCTGTTGGGAACATAAATATTATAAGATGCGTAAAAGACAGCACTTTGTTTAAAGAAAAAAGATTACCATAAGCAAGTTCATAGAAATTCAGATACATGATATGTGTTGTCACAAAAGCAAGCAAAGGAGCAGCAATCATGACTCGTGTAGCCTCATCCCTCACGTTAAAACATTGCAATATTGTTAGAAGGAGAGAGAATCCAAGCAAGGCCACAGCAGAAGAAATATCCAGCTTCTCTGTTAATTCCACGGCTCTACAGGTAATGAAAGTAGAAATACACGCCAAAAGTCAAAAGTGAAAAGGAAAAAGGTTAAATTATAACTATAGAACACCCTATGCTCCTCAGTATAAACTAATATCTAGCAGTAAAATAGTAGCATTAATACCGAAGATATCAATCAGAGTCTACTTGTTTATCTTTTATCTGATGAATGAAATCAGTTAATGATTCTGGGCACTGATTGTGCATCATATTTTGAATATGCTACCATATTTTATGCATATTTGCTTTATATAAAAACCTTGTGATGCTGAACATATATTTGAAAAAATCTCCACATGAATCCCTTAGATTGTAATTGTTGGTCACTTTAGTCCCTGACTTGTACAAGTTATTCACTTTGGTCCTTAATGTCAGTGAAAAATGTGGAGAAACGGGATTAAAGGAAATGTCTTTTTGCAAAGTTAAGTGACCAAAGCTTACAATTTCAAAGACTAAACTGGGGGTTTACTCATATATTTAATGAATTTAGATCATTCTAGCGTGAAAATCCAATCTTTTATGTCACCACTCGAAATACATACACGGGAGTGCCCGCAAAACAATATTAAGAGGCGTGACAGAAGCAACTGTGCTTTGAGGATTATTACTTCGAAACTGAATCATAATTTTATACATACACATAAAAGGAAATCAAGCAAACAACTTACCTACTATGAAAAACAGCACTCCACAACCATGAATTCATGGATAGAATCCCATAAATATGCCACAAACCAGTGTACTCATAGTAAGTCTTCTTATCTGGCCTCAAAGGCAACTTATAGTACACAAGAATGAAAAAGGATACCCAACCATGAAACTGCACGGCAAGATTGACGGCAGACAAAGCAACAGCCACAGGCTCCTGAAATCATACACAGCAGATCCACACCACAATCAGAAAATGAAACAAGCTTAGCAATATTACCATCTTAGCAGATCCACACCGCAGAGATCCATGAAAGAACCTGAATGCCATAAACACGCCTGAATGGCCATTTTCCATGATACTTGACAGGCTTGTCACCAAGTTTTGTTCTTTCTTCCTCTCTAGCTAGCATACAGTAATACCTACAGTCAGTGCAACAGTCCCATTGTTTCCACCTCAGGTAGAGGGGTTCATGCATATACCATGGACCATCAATTGGTTTTCCATCAGATGAGAATTTACAGTGTTGGAAGCATCTATCCCCTACACATCCAGTTTTCTTACACTGCTCCACACATCCTCTGCAATTCAATAGTCACAACCAAAATTGATCATATGGAATGCAAGAAAAAATTAGAGCAAAATATTACTATTGCACCGTTATTTAACATGGAAACTACATAAAACCAGAAGTTTTTGCATCTATCAGCAGAATACCTGTATTTTTTGCATCTACCATTCTGGTTAATATTTACTTACTACTGACAAGTGACAATATTTAAGTGTCACAATTTTCTTATTATTAAAATGCCTAATCTTCAACAACTAGATTTTTCAATTCATTCATGAAAGCATAAATATGAGAGTGATTAAACTGAACACAAGCAGTATGAATATATACAAATATGTAGAAAATAATAAAAAGAATAAGATTTTATTAATCAAAGTTTTGAACTATAAGCCTTGTGCAAAATGTAAACAATTACGAAACCCAAACTAAGCTTCTAATAACAGTTAAAAATCAGTTGTCATAACCTTAGAATATAAAAGCCTACCTATTGCAGTGATCTCAAATTTGTTATTTATCAGGACTAAGGAGATATGAAGTTGAAATGCGAGATTAATCGTTATATAAAGAAAGTATATTTTGAATAGTGTGCTACTGCCGCATAGCAGCCACAATTGGGGCCATAATGGCAGCATTTTGTGGCACTGTAACTCGCTATGTTGATAGTGTCCAAAATCTTGAAAAATCCCTCTAATATATTAAACATTAGAGGGGCATTTTTATGGAGGTAATGTTGGGATTTGGACTGAAAACAGAGAGTTTCAGGTTGTAGAAACCCCTTTTAAAGTTCATAGCTATCATGCCTCACTTCTCTCCTCTCCTACCTTGCAAGTGCATGACCCCTGAGCAACCCTCCAGTGACTATCCGGCAACATCTAGCAGCTTTTTTCCTCTCTTGCCCTCATTCTTGTTTTATTTTTCAGGTTTGACCGGTAACCTTGTTCTCTTATTCTGACCACATGTTTGTCTTCTCTTGTTTTCGTTACTCCTTCGGTCTATGTTCTCTGTTCATTGTCTCTCTGGACTGAATCTGAGGTCTTGTATTTGGTCATCTATCTCCCAAAACCGTTTCCCTTTTTCTTTCTCTTTGGTTAGTCGTGCATCATTTGTAACTATTTTGCTTGTATATTTGCTTTACTAATTGCATCATTACCAAAATAAAAGTTCAGCAGTAAATATGACAGTTACTACTAATCTCACTACTCATTTGCTTGTAATATAATGATTAAGATTAGATTAAAAAATAATAGTGAGAATGAAGAATAACTCTCTTAAACTTACAAAGTGGATCCGTTCTCATTATAAATATATAATTTTTTATTATTATCCTATACATACCCTTTACCTATTTTCAATTTTAAATAGTCATATTGTCAATGGGTGACCATAAGTTCTCTTAAAATTCACCATTTTTGTCATCAAAGATTTTCATTTTTAATGTTAAGTCAACTTTGTGAATAGTACTAACTACTACTATAAGCCAGTGCCAAATGCTTCTCGCTTCAGAAAGGTATGGGGGAGGATAACGCACAGTCTTCTCCTTGCATATGCAAAGAGACTATTTCTGGATTCGAGCCCATGACCGATACGTCAGCAAGACATATTCATGAATTTAAAATTATAGTATATTACTTCACTTTCTAACTTGAAAGTATCAATCATAAAAATAATCAAGCGATACTGAAGTTTAATAAGTCAACCTAAGCTTCATCTTTTTTTCCCAAGCGAAGCTCAAGTTTGCAAAATTTGTCTAGTTCAAATAAATGAGGGACCTAAGGGTGAAGAAATCGATAAATAAAAAGGTTCTTTAATCGAAAATCATGGTGGGATGAATTTATAAATTTAAATAGTTTTACACTTTTATGAAAAAAATCTACTTTTGAATCCTTAACCAGCTATCATGTCACTTGTTAGCATTTTCCTTTACAATATAAATAACAATAAATGCCATTTGTTCCAAACCAAAATAAGGCATCTCTCAGTTAGCACAGAATACAGATATCACTATCTAAAATCCCCCCAACAAGTAAAAATAGATGGTTCTGCAGCTTCTACTAACATGTACCTTAGGACATTAGTGAAAAGAAATTTAACACACCTTGTCAAATGCTTTCAATTACGATATTTTTTTCATTTTTAGTATAAGATTGTTTCCCTTTTCATGAAATACTTTCTACTTTTGTTTTCTTACTCGTCAGGGATCATCCTAAGGCACTCCATGGCATTTGCCAAAAAAAAAAAGAAAATAACCCATCATTCACATTCTCAGTCTAACACAATACGGAAATCATTTCCTATTATACCCGCTAAGCAGTGGAACTTCCACAAATGATCAAAATTAATTAAACAATCAAATGGAACTCAAAGAAAAACAACCAAAAAACTAAGCATGTAGCATAAGATAACATCATCTCAAAAAAGTATAATCTCAAACCTATACACTCTACGGTTGACAATTGACACCAACCATGTGAAAAAAATTGCATCATCGTCATCACCTATGCAAGACCCGAGAATCCTACAGTCAACCAAATCCAACCACATAACACACAAACAACATCACCTTAAAAATTTCCAACCCTTTCCTAAAACATTTCTAAACCGGTTATTATTATCAGAACACATCTATTTTCTCCTTCATCACATTTCTTCTTCTTATATCTCTTCATTTTCATCTGCAATCACATCATTTATAACAATTATCGCTTTCTCTCTCTTCATTTATTTGTTCTCTCCATACCTTTTTTCTTCTCTTTACCCATACTCCCCATTTTATGGTGTCCGGTTGTATCTTCCTTTCTCAACAAAAAAAAGACAGAAAAATCCAAGTTCCAATTTTTACTATACCCAAATCATTGAAACACCAAACCCATATTTATTGGCGTCCCTAACACCCAATCAAACGCTTAGATTGAAGATTTCAAATCTGGGATTCTCAAACTCTAACCATAGGTAGATAGAGAGATGGATTACGAGAGAGAGAGAGAGACTAACATGTAAAGTGGATCGGCATCGCCGTCGGTGGCGGCGAGGGGGCGGAGGAGGAAGAATACGGCGGCGAAGAGCAAAAGAGAGCGAAAGGGACTCATCGGATTCGTGCGAAAGCAAAAGTCAAAGGCCGGAGGGGAAGAAGGAGGAGGAGGAGAAGAAAGTTCCAGCGAGAATCGACGGTGAGTTTTGCATTGACGGAGAAGGGTGGCGGGGGTTGCAGTGACGATGGAGCGGGGTGGCGGTGGTTGTGGTTAATCTGGACAAGGAAAGAGTGAGTCAACTCGGAGCGAGTTGGGAAAATGGTGGTACCGTGTGGGTGGCCAAAACAGGACCAGAATCTCGTGGGTAGATGGATATGAATATATGATATGATATTGATATCTCTCACAACATTATTATTATTATTATTTTATTATTATACTTGTCAACAATAGAAATTGTTTCTATTTATTTTTCATGTGATTTTTTAGGCCTTCAATCAGACATCAATTATTTCAGCTACAACCTATGCTATTATTACAAAGGGAACTCTATTTTTCATGAACATGTTTAGTTATTACAACTTCCATAACAATTCTGTTAAGTATTCCTCACCCATTACAATTATTGACATTTAAATTTAACTCCCAAAACTAAAATAAATATACTATTAAATGTAGTTTGTGAAAGATTAATAAAATGCTTCATTTGTGTTCCTCCTAGCCTATGGGATTTCACTTTTATTTTATGCTCTCCAACAACTCTTCCAAGGGGTTCCTAGGTTTTGTAAAGTTGGAGGTTTGGTGATTGTAATCAATTGTTTTGTTTTTTTAATGATGAATCTCCCATCACTCAACATGTTGTGACGTGTTTTTCTTTTTTATTATTTTTAATGTTAAAAAAGTACTCCTCTAGTTTGTTCTTTTCCAACTTTGCAATAAAAAATAAATAAAAGAGGAAACACATGTCAAGTACCAATGATGGAGTCACGGGAACCCTTATTCTGCATGCATTTTGATAGATTTGTTAATCATAATAATTCTCTTGTTTTTATTAAGAGCAAAGATTTTCACAAATACATACAAATATAGGTCAATTTTTTTTCCTTTCATGTTGAAGTCTCTTAATTTTAATCATTTATAACACAATCTCTCCTTGCTCCTCCCTAATTTTTTACTTTTTTTTGTCTAATTATGAAATCGAGACTAATTTTAAAAATTAAGATATAAAATTTTAAAAATAAATTTTTATTATTTTGTAAATTTCGAAAGTTTTCATAAAAAATTTAATCTGAAAATTTATTTTATTATAATATTTTACAAATAATAAATCTTAAACTTAAAATCTAACAAGTTGCTCTAGGAATAAATCGAAAAAGAAACAAGTTACTCTGTCTTATCAAATTTTTTTTTAAAAATTTGAGCCTTTTAACTAAATGAAACGGATGTTTTTGTTGTTAATATTAGCTTAATTATTATAAAAATACATAAAATAATTGTGAAAAGCTGACCTAAATATTTATCATATATAGAATACGAATTTTTGGAATTGTTATATATATATATATATATATATATATATATATATATATATATATATATATTGTCTTTACTCTTATTAATAATACTTAAAAAATAAAATAAACCTATAAAAGAGCGTTTCCCTGTTGATTCTTAAAAAAAAAAAAAACTAGTTGATCGTTAACATAATAGAAAAATATAGCACAAGACCAACAAAATAACTGAAAAAAGGAAATATATAAATAACAAAAAATGAAAATATTTTAACAAAATAAATTTTGGATAAATAAGACTTTCCATCATCATGAGTCACTGTAGAGTGCAATTCCACGAGCAAAACACTCCCTTCTTCTTTCACCACCGAACTCTACTCTCTCTCTCTCTCTCTCTCTCTCTCTCTCTACCTCACAACACACAATTCTGTTTCTACATCTTCCACAACATCAATGGCTTCTGCTACACTCTCACTCCATTACCCTCTTCTTCTTCGTTCTCCTCTGTCTACCAAAATTATGAAACCACCCCTCTCTCTTCCCCTCTCACCCCTTCTCGTTCACCCTCTCCACTCGCGCTTTCTCCTCCCTCCGCCACGCGCCTACGTAACTGCGCCCGCATCCGACCCGAATTTCGGCGACCCGGATCCGAAACTTATCGGGTTGGGTTCGGAGAACGCGAAGCCGCGAAACGTTATCTCTTGGAGCCTCCTCTTCACGCTTCTCATGAAGCACAAACTGCGTCTGGCTCTCGTGGTCACAACACTCTTCGCCTGCTCCACATGTACCCTATCCATGCCTATCTTTTCCGGTAACTTCACTTCTCCCCTCCACTCAACAATTAAATTGCTTAATTACCTAAATTTCGAACCTCTCTTTTATTTACTTTTTTGAACTTTCTGTTGGTGAATTGAATGAACCTTTGTTTTATTTGTTCCCCCAAATTTGTTACAACACAATGCACATGCACATGGTATATTTTAGATTCAATTACTTGTTTGGCATAATCACAACACTTACAATTCTATTTGTTTTCTTTTTTAACCACGATCTAGTCACTCGGGACTATTTGGTTAAGTCTAATTCAATTTAGTCCTACATAAGTTTTTTAAATCCATTTTATTCTTTACAAATTTGGACAAGATACTAAAATAAATTAAAAAGTGTATTCATAAGAATTATAATGAGTAAATTTCCAATACAAAAATTTATTAAGTATTTCCTGTGGTTATGTTAGAAATGTCTCATATTAAGAATAAGAGTGAGTATAAGATACAAACAAAATGATTAAGGTTTCTTCATATAAGTGGGAGACTTACACAAATATTATGCTTTTGAGATGTATAACACAATTGTTGGAAATTCTACATCATATATGACCAAATTACAGAATATAAATAGGGTATAATTCTCACGTTTTGAAAATTTTATGAGGTTAAATTAGATTCAAGTCCACATTCTATCAGATCTTATATTAATAAGATTTTTTGGGTTATAATTGGAGTGAAAGTGTGTGTTGAAGATTACAAATTAGCTAAAATATGGTCATAGTAATTGATGTAAAAGTGTGTGTTGAAGATTATAGATTAACCAAAAATATGAATTATAATAATAAATGGATAACAAATTTCATTTTATAACACATGTTTTTGAAAGATTAATTAGACCCACTTTTTAATAATATGCTATATAGAAAAGTATTTTTATTGTTTTTCTCTTTAGAATTATATTTCTATATTTGTATAAAGACGTTCTTAAAAAGTACTTCTGATTTTTTTATTAGAAAAGAGAAATGGAAGAACGGTAACGTGGTTTCAGGATTTGAGAGGTCTTATTTGAAAATGTTCATGATTTAACGATTAGTTCAATTAAGATCACGAGCGGTCTTGAAAGAACTTGTTTAGTTTTTATGAATTATTTTAGGTTAAACTATTTCTTTATTTCAAGTTTTAGTTCCTTCACAGTTCTTTTATAGTTTATCACTTCCAACAAATTTTTCTTTGCAGTTTTATATTTCCAGAAGTCCTGTCAAGTATAAGTGAGAGGAACCAAAACTTGTGCAGAGGGGCAGATATGTATGTGTCAAGACAAATTCTACTTGTAGTTTTAGAATAAAAAAATAGAATAATTAGTTTATACAAGCATTATAGGAATATTTATATGGATCTAATTAATTATTTAACTATTTTTTATGTTTTCTTTTTCTTTTTCAATAAGTGCCCAAACATATCTGATATTATTTGGGAATAATTTAATTATTTATTCAGAAAAAAAAATAGATTTTGGTAAATATATTTAATTTAAATGTAATCTTGGAAATTTTTTCTTTTTATATATTCTTATCCAATCATAATTTTTTTTTCGTGTGATAAGATTGTTGACTTTTATAATAGTTATTTTAAAAATTTTGTGTAAGATGGTTTCTAATTAGTTGGCTATGTAAAAATTTTCAGTGATGGTAGATGAAAATCAAAGTAAAAAATGTTTTTCTTTTCCTGCTAGTTTAGGGAACTTTTGTAAAAGGTAATTATTTCTCCATCTATACCATTAAGATGTAGTTTGTTGAAGAATGGTCAGCTAGGAAAATTTTTGTTTCTATTTAATTTTTTTTTGTTGTTCATCAAATGTGGTTATGTAAATATTTGTTCTAGGAAGACTGGATTAGAACTCTCTTTCTTCCGTTGAAAATGGGATGATGAAATTATATTTTCTCATGGAAAATAATTTGGGTTGTAGTGCAAATTTGAATTATTAGTGCAGGTTTTTACCCCTTGGCATTCGGGGTGCTATCTTTTATCTTTTGATTCCTTTTTACCAACTGTTCATGCATGATTTAACATTGTTATATTTGCATTCTTATGCGTTGTTGTTCTTTTAGGACGGTTTTTTGAAGTTCTAATTGGCGCTAGACCTGAGCCGTTGTGGAAGCTGCTTAGTAAAATTGTTGTTCTGTATGCTTTGGAGCCACTTTTAACTATAATTTTTGTTATAAACATGAACATAGTGTGGGAGAAAATTATGTCAACACTAAGAGCTCAGATCTTCGGAAGAATATTAATACAAAAGGTAAAGTTAAATCTTTCTAGAAATTCTGATAATTTTTTTTTTAATTTATTGTTATTGTTATTATTATTAATGCTTGGACATAGTTACTCGTTAGAAAATGTATGGTTGTTTGAGTTATTGGATTGAAAGTTATTTTGCTTTGATGGATTAATCATTTTTTTATTTATTTGTGCAGATTGAATTTTTTGACAAATACAAGGTATGTATATGGAATTACTTACATTGTATGTGCTTCTATGTGTCTCTTGAGATATTTGGGTAGAGACACCGTAAGCAGATGCGAATTGCCATTGTACTACCTTTACCTTATTGATTGATTGATATGCGTGGTATTCCACTGTCTTTGTTTTCATTCCCTCCTTTCAGTGCTTTTGTCTTCTCTTTTCTTTGTATCCCTGTGTTTTCATCTATTGCTGTAACATGATGGGAATCTCTTTCCAATATGATTTTATGAATACCAGTATTTTATTTAAAAAATATAAAAAATTTATTTTATTGAGCTATATAATATCATTTTTTTATTTGCTTATAGTACACTGACAATGTAGGTGCAAAAACTATTGCACTTTCTTGTATTTGCTTATAGGTTGGTGAACTCACAGGTTTGTTAACATCTGATTTGGATTCTCTTAAAAATATTGTCAGTGAGAATGTCTCAAGGGATCGCGGATTCAGGGCATTATCTGAGGCAAGCAACTTTACACCAATGTGAGCTTTATATTTCCAATATTTAAGCATGTGTATGGTTCATTCCTTTTTACTTTGTTGGGGTAGACTTTCCTTCATTTCTTGAGGAGTGAAATTTTTGCCACAAATTCTGTTTGGGTGTGGAAGAAATGCTTTCATGCCTTCCAAGAGAGAACCTCTTCTTTTATGTCACTTATGTTGTACTCATACTTACTTTTGTTTGCATTTTGCTGCTCATGTTCATTTGTGTCATTGCTGCTCATGTTCGTTTGTGTAATTGTTGCTTTTGTTTTCTTTGTTATTGTAGGTCGTTGGAACAATATTCATTCTTTTTTCCTTATCACCGCAACTGGCACCCATTTTAGGTGTTTTGATGCTCGCAGTTTCCATTTCAATTGGTAAGTTTCCTTTCTATCTCATGAGATCAATTCAATGACCATGTTCAGCACTGTTATGGTTTACTATGAAAACCAGAAGTATGATCACCTATCTTTTATTCATCCTTTCTAGAATGCTAGTGTAAGAGGCTTCATAATTTCATAAATAGCTTATATGCAAGCTGACAAATGTATGTAGCTTGAATAGTAAACACTTTGTAATTTGTAAAAGAAAATTGGGAAACGTTACTTGTCATTTCATGTATTGTTCCCTGGCGCTGATTCATTTTGGTTCTCTGTAGCTGTCTACAAGAGATCTACATTGCCAGTTTTTAAAGCACATGGGAAGGCCCAAGCATCTATATCTGATTGTGTATCAGAAACATTTTCAGCTATTCGAACAGTGAGATTCCATTAGTTACTTTTTTTACAAGCATTTGTCTTGTGCTTTGTAATGGCATTGATTTATAATTCAGAGCTGAAACGGTGACATATATGGTTACAGGTCAGATCCTTTGGTGGTGAAAAGCGCCAAATGTTTTCTTTTGCTAATCAGGTAAGATTATTTAAGCACCAATAGCTAATTTCAGAAAGGGTATGACATCCTCTAGATACTTCCATGCTATTTATTTGCTCAATACAGGTTCTATCTTTCCAATCCAGTGGGATAAAGCTTGGGACTTTCAAATCTGTAAATGAATCCTTGACTAGAGTTGCTGTTTATATTTCTTTAATAGCATTGTATTGTCTTGGAGGAAGCAAGGTTAAGGCGGTAAGCAATTATAGCTTTTGAAACTTGTCTTATTTCTCAATAATTACAAATCTAATTATGATCTTTTTTCTTATTCCCTTCCACACCATATATTGCCAATCATGATTATTGTTGCTACTTACATTATATTCTTTCTTCTGATATAACGTTCTCCTATGATCGTATACATCTTTCCCTTATGTTTTTTACACTGGTTTGACCATTCTTTAATATTTCTTAGTTGCTCTTAATTCTTGATCTCAGGGTGAGCTGTCTGTTGGAACCATGGCATCTTTTATTGGATATACTTTCACTTTAACATTCGCTGTAAGCTATTTGAGTTGTTGACTTTGTTTTTCTTTAAATTTTCATCCTCTGCCTCTCTGATATTATGTCTTTTAGGTTCAAGGACTGGTTAATACTTTTGGAGACCTTCGTGGAAGTTTTGCTGCTGTTGAGAGGATCAACTCTGTTTTATCTGGAGTTCAAGTGGATGATGCCCTGGCTTATGGCTTAGAAAGAGAACTGAGACAAAAAATAGTTGATGATGAAAACTATAAATTGGTCTTATCTAATATTTCTAATGAGAATATCCAAAAAAATTATTTTCACTACATGTCAGCTCTTAAAACATCAAGCAATTTGTTTAGCTTAGCTTGGTCCGGAGATATTTGTCTTGAAGGTATCCTTATTGCAATTTGTTTGTTTATCTTTTGATGTGTTGTTTTAATGTATGACTCATCCATATCAATAGCTATGTTTGCTAATGTTCTTGTAATGGAAGCTTCATTATCTTGCTGCTTCTCTTTAAGTTATGAGATGAACTTAAGTAACTAAATGCATGAATTTTCTTTTGAAGGACTTTGACTGTCTGCTGGTTGCTTTCCTCTTAAGGAAGACATATATATAATCATTCACTTTCAATTTTAAATATTTATGTCCATCTGATAAGTGAAGCTTTAGTTTCTTATTTGATGTCTGTCTGTCTCTGTCTCTCTCTCTCTCACACACACACACAGGCACACATTGCTTTTATAGGTGTAAAGTAGTTCTGTAATAAAACATCATTACCATAATAATCTGATTTTTTTGTAATGTATACTTTTTAATTTTTTCCTTCTCTTTCAATGACTATGCTCATATTATACTGCAGATGTATATTTCTCTTATCCATTAAGGCCAGATGTCGAAATCTTACGTGGCTTAAATTTAAGACTAAAATGTGGAACTGTAACTGCACTGGTGGGTTCTAGTGGTGCAGGCAAAAGTACTGTAGTCCAGCTATTGTCTCGTTTTTATGAGGTTTGGATTTCATGTAAGATGCAGTTTCATGGATTATTATTGTCTTGAAAATACGTAAAGTAATCTTTTATTTCTGCAGCCAACAAGTGGTTGTATAACAGTTGCTGGAGAGGATGTCCGAACATTTGACAAGAGTGAATGGGCCCGGGTTGTCTCTATGGTAAATCAAGTAAGGAGTAAGAAGAATCTTATGTTTGATTCTGAAAGTGTTGCTTTCGTTTCTTCACAAATTTTACATATTATAGGAGCCTGTTCTGTTTTCGGTGTCTGTTGGAGAAAACATTGCATATGGGCTTCCAGATGAAGATGTTTCTAGAGAAGATGTGATTAAGGCAGCAAAAGCTGCAAATGCTCATGACTTTATAATTTCACTTCCACAGGTTTGTTTGTATTCCAAGTATGCAGATGCTTTTATATAGGTAAAAAGAAAAACTGTATTCTTATCGTTAATTTTTTATTCTTGAAAGGGCTACGATACACTCGTTGGTGAACGTGGAGGCTTATTGAGTGGAGGACAGAGACAGGTACATTAAAAGTTCACACATGATCCTCTCTCCTTGCATGGTATGCATTTATGCCTGGACACGTATTAAGGTTCTTAACTCTTGTATCTGAATGACAGAGAATTGCTATTGCTCGAGCTCTCCTAAAGAATGCTCCCATCCTTATACTTGATGAGGTGATATTTTTTGTCTAATTCTATACTTTTCTATTTATACTCTCCATGCTTCATATAGAGAGGATTGGGATTGCTGGTAATTGTGTGATCAATACACACGTCGTGATTGCTCTTGTTTATAACGAAGAAGATATATAATAATAAGAAAAACAAAATCAATACCTAAGAATGGAAAATCTTGTTTATAATGAAGAAGATATACAATAATTGAAAAAAACAAAGTCAATAGCTAATAATAAGAAATATTTAAATATTTCCCTATATATCATATCATATCATATCTTCCTATTTAATTTAATCAAATCACATTTCTAAACTTCATTTCATCTTGAATGCATAAGCACATGCAGCCATTACAACCCTTCTTGTTGCTCTTTAAGATGCTGATATCTACATGACCCATTGTTCCAAATTGCAGACAGCATCACGCAATAAAGTTGTAACATTTTAGTTGCAGACTGCATTCAGACTGGTTGCATACTGCATTCAGACTGGTTGCATACTGCATTCAGGCTGGTTGCAGACTGCATTCATTCGTGTCAGACAACAACCACAATTTAAAACCTTGATATAATCCTATTTATAACTGTTTTCTAAATCGGACTCTACTCTACTAGTTAGTTCAACCAGTACAATCAGAAATTAATTATTTTTAAAAATAATTAAATTTTAATTAAATCGATATAGAATTTTTAAAACTAATAAAATTAAAAAAATTGGTCGGGTTTTTTTGTCAAATAAGTTTTATTAAAAAAAATAAAATCAAAATATTTTAAATGTTGTTAGAAGATAATTTTTTTATGAAAGGTATAATATTTTTTATCTTATACAAATTATATTAAATTTAAATAATAATTAATTTATTATATATATATATATATATATATATATGATTATTTGTCAATTTGAACTGTATTTTTATATATTTGTAATAATAATAATCTTCATAATTATTGTAATTGTATTTTTCTTATTTTTTGTAAAAATTATTATTATTATGAATTAATTTATTATATTATTATATCATAAAAAATAATATTCTATTCAATCTGGTTTGACATTGCTATTTATGCATATCTTGATTTTGATATTCTTTGTTGGTGCAGGCTACCAGTGCCCTGGATGCTGTCAGTGAGCGCTTGGTCCAGGATGCTCTGAACCATTTGATGAAGGGAAGGACCACATTAGTAATAGCTCACCGATTAAGCACAGTGCAAAATGCATATCAAATTGCAGTCTGTTCCGAGGGGAGGATTGTAGAATTAGGAACCCATTTTGAGCTATTGGCTAAGAAAGGCCAGTATGCTTCACTGGTTGGCACACAAAGGCTTGCCTTTGAATAAATTGACATTATGAAAGTATGAATATTTTCTGTCATACCAAATGGCAATGGAAAAGAAATATTATAATCAATGGCTGATTGGTTGCAGCCACCATCGCTCCCAAGGTCTCTTCTTATTGCCTCAAATGGGTTCCAGTTACACCTTTTTTTAAATATCTATTACTTTTAGGACTTTACGGTTTATTTCAAAAATGTCACTCAAATCAAATATTAATAAAACGCTTTATTTTTAAATAATCTTGTTAATATATTAATTTTGTTAATTCATAACTAACTACAGTGCTTTTTTTGGTAAAGGCTCGGTGAAGCATTATTTTCTTTTAGTAATCAGTGCAATTAATGTTTTTGTTGAAATGTGTGTACTATTTAAACGTATATAATTTGAAAGGGAATTGAGTATAAGATTATAAATTTATCGTTATTTTACTCTGCCAAAAAAATGTTGCATAGTGAAGTTTAACATTAAGGAAACACTTTTACATGTGTAATCTTTTTATTAAAAAGTAGGCGTAGCATGTCCGAACAAGTCAAAATGCATGTAAACTAAACAAATAATTAATGGATATCATATATCAAATATGATATACCAAATAAACAAAGTTTTTGAATTTTGAGCACCAAGCTTTCGGTTTGTGTTGGATATATTCATCTCTATCATATATCAAATATGAAAATTCTCTTGCAAAGCTACGAACAGCCCAGCTGTACATGGCTATCTTCTTTTCTCTTGTTTCTACAATGTATACCATCTTTTACTATTTCACATTCATCTTCCAACATGGATATTATGACTCTACATTGGTTTCAACTTTCAACAAATGTCCAAATTTTGTGATGAGATCTTAAGATGAGGAAGAAATGGAGATTACAGCCTTTAACTCAGCAAGGCACTCAGTTGGGAGGCCAAGGAAGGAATTCATAAAGAGATCATCAATAGGGTCAACTGTTGCTACACCAACCAGTCTGCAATTCCCGTCTTTATCCAATCTCTTGCCTCTTCCACTCTTCATAGTGCCTTTTGTTTCTTCAGATGTCAACACTGTCTTCACCAACAGTGGAGGAGCCTTATAGAGACTACCAGCAGAAAACAAAAACTTGGCCTTGAACTCAAGATCAACCTTGTTAAAAAAACCCAAACAATCATATCATCAATTTACTGGTTATGGTACAAAACAAATTAGAGAGACACATATGGCAATGGCAAGTTAAAATAACCTCATGTTTGAACAACATTTTTTTCTCTTTACCAGTTAAGTTTCTCTAAATAACTTTTACAATAGAGAGAAAGAGAGACCTTAAATGTTTTACCTTGCCAGATTCTTGGTTAATACTTCCATGTAATGCTTCTGGAACTATATCAATCTTCAAAAACGGTGGCAATGGCAATCCAAGAAACTTGGTCGTAGAACTTGTTAATGGTGGAATATACAAACTTTCAATATCAAATGAAACAGGAAGGTCATTGTTGGCTGGACTATTCTCTGTGACCTTTGCACCAACCCCAGTTCCCATTCCCCCCTCTGCATCATATTCAAAGTCAGGATACCTTGAAATGGCAAGCTTGCAACCCTTTTCTGTCTTGAAACCGACAGTGTAAGCCTCAGGTATTGGAGTTCCAATCCTTGTGGTGGCGGAAATGGTTTTTTGCTGATTTTCACTTGAGGAAAAGGAAAATAAGATAGTGTTTCTTCTTCTAAGCTTTGGCTTCTTAGTGAACAATTTGCATGGAAATGGTGAGCTTAAGGGGTTTATTTTACAACTCATCTATAGTGTGTGCGATTTACTTGCTCAAAGATAAGGTTGAAATATAGAAATGTATGTTGAGGAAGAAAATGGCATTACCAAAATCATAAGCTCAAAGTCACCAAAAGCATTAAGAATATGATGAGGTTGGTTTGGTTTGTGGCTATGAATCTTATCCTTTCATATGGGGTCTTCACTGTGCAATAGGCAATCAACACTTGGCAGTTTAAAATGGTCCATAGAATTTCAATGTTTCCAAAATTGAAAAGATATTCTATGATAACTAGGATTAAGCCGATTCTACGACATCTGTTAATAAATTCTAGTCCAAATTTAATGTTACTAATTACTTTGACTAATTTCATTAATCGTTGTAAATTAATTAATTTAATCTTAAAAAAAAGATTAAACAGAGGATTATACTTTCATACAAAATGAAAACTAGGATTTCGTCCATTTTGCGAAGAGGAAAACAAGAAAAGAGTAAGACATAATGGAGGCGGGAGAAAGTTTGGGAGAAGATAGAAAGTTTAAAAATATAACCGTAAAGTGGAAAGAGAAAAAACAAAGATGCAAAAAATAAGGCCCATATTGAACTGAAAAAATTTGGGCTTTCTTCAAATAAATTGTGGGGTATGCTTAGATCCAAATAGAAATGTGTGTTGTGGAAGGGTAAAAAAATCATCAGGCATGCTTTAAAGAACAGAAAAATGGATTGAAACAAATTAGGGTGGGGGTGGACATTCCTTAACTCTATAGAATTTATTATTGTACTTCCATTTAAATTCCCTCTTCTTAGTTATTTAAGATGATTTTACAAGGTTAAGGACACCCTACAATACTCTAATGGTATGCTTGAATAGTGTTGTATTGTCGTATTAGAATTTTTTTAGAAAAGAGATCATCTTTATTGGGTCTGTGCCGGGAAATGATTTATATGTACGCAAAAAACATTTGATTCTCAAGTCAGTAAATGAGTGAAAGATGTAGTAGAGATTTTGAATTTGAATCATATATTACAACCTTTATCTATTTATAGTACCGTAGTTTGTTTTTAAATATTATAGTGAGTTTCTTTTCCTATAAATTTTTTTATCTTGAGTTAAAGTCAAATTACAGTAATCATTATTTATTTTTGGATTGATTTATCTTAGAACACTTCTCTTTTTTTTCTTCCTTATTTATTTATTTTATTAGTTTTCATGTTCTTTAATTTTTGCATATTACATGTTTATTTTTAATTTTATGTACCACTTATCTTATTATTTTTATTAATTTTATCACAAAATCTTTAAATTTTTTCGTAATATTATATCATCAAACACCTTAAATATTAATCATTAAAATCAAATTTAAAAATGTCATGTATATAACCCAATTTATTTTGAAAGACTAAGATTTACAATTTATTTTAGAAGATTAAAATTTATAATTTTTTAAAGAAGTAAAAAATAATTTATGTTTTCTTATGATTAGTTTATAATTATTTTATATATAGGGTAATTAGTAGCGTGAACCTTAATTTTTCTATTCATTCATTAGACACCTTATGTGGCATATTTAATTATTTTATGTTGCGATGGCACTCCAAAGAAAATTAGAAAAATTTAAATGAGCAAAAGTCAAAGTTTTGCATCATCAAAATGCAAAACGGCAACGTCTCGTAAAGAGAGTTCAAAATGCAAAGGGACAACGTCTTGCAAAGAGTGAGTTCAAAATGTAAAGGTTACGCAGAGTGGGTTCAAAACATAGAGGGACAACATTTTGCAGAGAGTGGGTGTAATTGGTTTCTTTGTTTAGTTTTACGCTTTTTATTTATTGTGCTTTCTCGCGTCCCCCAATGGTGGTTCTGGTTTTGTTCACGGTGAGTATTTTATTTTTGTTCATTGTTGTTGTATATTTGTTTGTCCTCTATTAATCGATTTTTAAATATTACTTTAATTCCATTATTTATGAAAGTGATAAGAATATAATCTTGTTTTTAGGAGAACTGAAATTTGTATTAGAGGAGGAAACATTAATTATGAATATTGATATATTTTTATTGAATATTATTAATTATTGTTATCATCATATGCATTTAAACTTTCTTTTTATATATAAATTTTGTACATATGCTACTTAGACATGAATGTAAGACAAGATAAATAGAAAAAATTAATAATAAATTATAAAAATATAATTTTAAACACTCCTTTTAAGTTGTTATTGAAATTTGGTAAAAAGTTAAAAATATGTTTGTCATTATTGTTTGAATTATTAAGTAGATGGGATGAAAAAAAATGATGCTTTTAGAATACGGGGTAAAATAATATCATTTACACCCTTAGATGGTTGTTTGACTTTAGGATTTTTTATATGTGGAGAGAAAGTTGTTTTTTACAAAAATGGTGAGTATTTCATGACAAACATATTTTGCGGCAAGTATGTTTTCTTAGAAGAAATTTTTGGTAAACTTAAGCAATTGCAAAGTGAGAATAATGGATGATTTTTGTAGAGTTTATATAATTCTTGGATTGACGAAATTTTATTTTCCAAACACATATCCTTATATGTGTGTAAGTTCATTATATTAGATATCAAACAAAAACATAAACACACACAACTAAAATAAAAAGATAAGAAAAACACTAATAATAAGCAAAAGAGTAATTCTATTAATGAAAGAAATTATCATTCTTCTCTCTCTACCTTCAAGGAGGAAACAATAACACCCTCTCCTGAAAATACAGGGGAAAAAACTACTTGTTGGGACTTTGAGGAGGGATTCATAGGGAGAAACAACATCAATGAGACATGAGTTTAACCCATATAAGGGATTGACACCACTCTCAACTCAAAACCTTAAGACATTAGGTTATGGGTCATATTTCCTTATATGTTGCTCAATTTTCTTATTTTTATCCAATATGAAACTTAAAATCACATTGTATTTCCTAACAATCTCCCTCTCAAGTATGAATTCCTCCACATTGGTACATCCCCTCAAACTCATCAGTAGTTCTTACATGTATTGTCTCTAACGGTACTCAATGTGGAATTTAACTCATACTTGAATTACCCAACACACAGGATCATCATCACCAATACTACCACACATTTTATCAAACAACCTATATACAATCAACTAAAACACTGAAAACAGAACAACAAACCATAAAAAACATATTCCACCAGCAGCAACCACAATAAACACTCAAACCATACGAAACAGGACAACATACACAGTGTTGTTAAACGGGTCTTTCAAATATGTTCTTCCCCATAACCAATCAATCAACTGTCAACACACTACAACCAAAAGAAAATATGTTTTGTTAAACTCACTAAAACAATCACTATACTCACACCCACCATTAAGACATTCATAATGTCAAGAGTGTGACTGTAACCTCCACTACCATTAAAATAGTCATGTTGTCATATGTAGGATCATAGAAATGCTAAGGCTATTTCACTAAAAAGAAAAATAATAAAAAATCTAAAAAATAACGAAAATTCACCATGCATGTACCAACACAAGAAATTTTTAATACTAATTTTTATAAAAACTATCTCTTTTACTTCTCAAATCCAAAACACAACAAATTAAAACTCCAGTTTCAAAACTTAAATTTCGCATAAATTTTCACAAGTCCCTTACAACAAAAGAAAATAGATAGTGCAAAAACTTTGATGTTCGAATTTCTCAAAGGATGGGTAACCCTTCTTTCCTTCCTTCAGTGTCATCGTGTACTCCTTTGTATACGTACGAGAGTAGACATTAATTTGCAACCCTTTTTGCTAGCACATCAAAGATGAGTTGTTGCACTTTGTACAACTTCACAGTTACACCATGCACAATATTCCTCTAAAGGTGCAGAGTGCAGAGAATGAGATTGGTGAGATTCTCCATGCAAATAATTAATTAAGCTTTTCTTTTTCTTTTTCTAAACACTATAGGAATCTTCCCACAACTATATTCATGTTTGGTGTAACTAGACAAGTTCTTTATATGAATATTTTAACTGTATTTATAGAACTCCAATTCTAATGTTTTAGTTAAACCATAATCAACCTCTAAATGTAGCAGTTTTCTTCTTTACCAAGGTTATATATAGTTTTATTAAGGTTTCATTATATAGTTTCAGTTCCTCAAATTTAAAAAAATCTAAATTAGAAAAATGTATTTCCGTGGAAAAATATTGTTTTAATCCCTTAAATTTACTAAAACTAGTTTTCGGAGAGAAAAAAAAATCATTGTATCTTTCAAATTTAGTACAAGAACTAAAGACAAAAATTTTAAAAATTTCGAAAAATAATTGTTTTTTAATTTAGAGACCAAAACCTGATTCGTTTCAAATTTTTGCAATAAAATTAATTAAGCTTTTTATTAATGAATGAAAAAGATTATTCTTTAGGTTTGCTTTTTAACTTAAAATAAAATAAAAATGTTGGCATAGCAATTTGCACATTATTATTACTCGTTATACATATCCCACTATATTTGTGAATGTATACACAATATGAACCATTTGTTGACATGAAATTTTGAAAGATTTTATTTAATGTATTTCACATTATTGTAGGGATATATACTCTTCTACAATTTCATTGACCAAATAGGTAAAAATGAGTATGAAGAATAAGTTGAAAATACTATTGAATTTGGATAGTTTATATTTTTCATCAATTATAATGAGATTAAGCTTTAGTAGATGATCGAGGATCTTTGAAAGCCCAACCAAGGATATTTTAGTAAAAGTGTGAAATTCAATATTTTAGTAACCATCGGGTTGGCACTATGGTTATATACCCACACCTTAAAGAAAGTACCTTTTGAAAAGCAAATGTTGTTGTTTTGCCATCCACACGTCTGCTCCAAAGTCTTGGTATTAAATTCATCATTGTGTTAGAGAATATGATTAGCAATTATGGCATAGCATGCAGCCATAATGTTCCAATGTTTTTTTTATTAAAAGAAAATCACATCATTGAGCAAAGTGGTAGGGGCCAATGGATTACTCATTCCTTCGTGCTGTAGAATGTTACCAAAAGGATTGGACAATAATTCGAAGTATATTTGAGGTTTTTGCATTAGAAAAAAGAGATGAAAAACTTGCATTAGAAACTAAGAGATATCCCATTTAATTTGTATATGGCATGCCCAAAAGATGTGGTAGAGGGACAGAATCATGTGTGAAGTTTTTGACAAAGGGGACATTTACTTTGGGGTGTTTCCCTGTCTGGCTAGAAACCTATAAAACATCATTAATGGTGTGTTGTGTTATTGGGTAGTGGAGTAGCATCTTTCACATCACCAAATCGATTAGGCCCTCCCTCACTATCCAAGTCTCTAAGGGTTGGTTGTGCTTTACACTCCTGGTGCAACACTTTTTGTCTTCATTTTTTTTTTCTTTCATTATATTTATGGAACTTTTTAAGTGAAGATGAATAAAGTGTTAGAATTTTTAAAATAGTGAGATAGTTTCTTCCATCTTATAAAATCGACTATACTTTTGTATTATAATATTATTGATTTAAGGTTTTTTTAATCTATTTTCTTATATCGAGATTTAATTTAGATTTAATAACGGACTATTTATTTTATAATCCTTAGATAATATTTCAATATTTCTTAAGTTAACTTTAATATCATTTTATAAATTATTAGGTATATAATTTAATCCTATAAAATTAGTTTAGCTAAAACTTATATTTATTTATATAATATCTTTAATCAATATAAAATCTTTTAACATCATCTCAATTCTTTAAACATAATATATTTTATTATTAATTTATTTAATATTAATTGGTTCTAAATTAAAATCTAATATGGTATCATTTTCTTTTTATTCATGTGTATCATAATAACATTTTTTTAATTAAGAGAAAATATTAAGAAAAATCTTACATTATTTATATTAATTCTCAAAAATAACTTATATATTGGTTAGTCGTTTTAGTTAATATTAATTAATATTAAGTTAAAATGATATTTATTGTTATATCATTTAATGTGCTAGTTATTATAAGATTTAATATTTTTTTAATTTCTTAAAAATTATAATACACCATAGTATTTGTTTAAAATTTTGTAACAATGGATAATTCAAAACATATAAATCATTGGTGTAAATTGATGGTAATGACTCTAATCATATTTTCTCCGGACATTCTAAAAAAAAAATTTATTTTTTTTTACAGTTTCGAATTCTTTTTAATTCCGCTATCCAATTGGATTTAATATATGATAAGATAATCATGATAGAAATGAAATATAGTTTTTAATATTCTTAAGAAACGGTTGAAATCTTAGTAGAATTTTCAAATTCAATTCCGATTTTAGAGTATAATTTTGAATGTGTGTCTAATATAGAACTTTTAGTTTCAATTCATCCCCCACCATTCTCTGTCGAAACTCCATGCAATAAAGTATTCCGGTGAATTTTCAAGATATAATGGAGGTTTTAGACATGGTTTGGAGAGTCACATTAACCCTATCATTAATTAGAATAATATTTTCCTTAGTTATTTCATACAAAATGAAAAAAAATGATTTGATGTAAATAATCAATATCTTATTGTGCTTATGTTTTTTCTTCGTGTGAATATATTTTTTATCAAGAGGTTAACCTTTTTAAAGATGTTTATCTCTTGACTTAGTTAATAATATATATTTGTTATAAGGAAACATAAAAAAATCATTTAGGATACATGAAAAAAAAATCATACTTTCATATATTTATTAATTTTTTTAATGAATATATAATCTTACTAAAGTATATGAAATGTTCTTACCTGTATTCTATAGCAAGTTTTATGATATATTTTTTTAATTGTTTTGATGTGTTTTGAAAAGATTATTAGTTTTAAATAAAAGATTATGAGATGTTTATTCTTATTTATCGAATATATATCTAATATTTTATAGAAATATCATATATCTTGGTATATTTGACCTAATTGTTAAATTTAGATGACACATGAAATATTTTTTTATTTCTTTGTAAATATATTTTTTAGAATGAAAATATTTTTATTAAAAAATATATTTCATAACAAAAATACAATTTCATAAGCATACACTTATTCATGAGATGCATTTGTATTAAATCAATATAATTTTTTCTTTGTTTTGATCTTAAAAGATAATATATTCCAACCTATTGGATTATGGTTATTTCATGATTTATAATTAAGATATTCTAATCTATGATAGAAAATTTTTAGAATTTTTGTGTATGTACTCATATATTTTATATAAAGAATAAAAATATGATAAAATATCAAATATTAACAATATATATTAAAAATAGATAAATTATAACTACTTAAGTTAAAATAAATTTAATATCTGTTTTTCTTATTTTAAAAAATAATAAAAATATTTTAATACCTAATTTAAATAAAAATCAATAAAACATTTTTCCTAACTTTCACAATAAAAAATTGTAAAAATTGGCATCTCATACATTTAGTAAGAATAATACATTTTTTAATGAAAGAATATATACTTTCGTTAAAGGATGAAATCTTACACATATCGCTTGGTGAATATATATTTTAAAAATAGGATATATTTTTATTAAAAATATATTTTCATTAAAAAAAACACACACACAATTTCATATGTATACCCACACCTTTTTCATGAATAGATCCATCTTTTTTATGAGAAAAAAAAAATAATTTTTCTTTTGATCTCAAAAGATAGTATACTCCAACCTTATGCATTTTAAAAATAATTTATTTAGATTTGAATCATAATCATCGGAAGAAGAATTTCGATATCATATCTCATGAATTTTTATTTAGTTCTATTTCAACTTGTTACATCTTAGTTAAATAAAATAATTAAAAATGCCTTTTTTTATAAACTAATAAAGCGAAATTTATTTTATTATTGAAGTTAGCATATGAATTAATATCAAATCACATCAACTAATGATGTGATATAGCCTAGTTAAAAAAAATTTTCTTTCAAAATATAACTGTAAAATATACACACAATTAATATTTTATTCTCTTAACTTTAATTTTTGTGTCGATTTATTTCAAATTTTTAAAATTTTATTTTGGCTTTTATCCATTTTTAATTTGGTCTACGGTGTGACCCTTTCAAAAATTGTGGAAAGAAATTGAATGCCACTAAAACTTATAACATAATTAAAAAAAAAACAATCAAATTGAAAAAAAAAAAAGACTATCATGTGGATGATTTATTTTATTTTTCGTAAATCTTAGCTTCGAAATGGAAAGGAAATCATCGTTGTGCATGAAATTTTTTTAATCAAACTCTGTTTCAAACGCAGAGTTCTTATTTTCTAAATAGTATTATTTATATGTAACCAATCATGTGTGTGTATCATCATCCATATGAATATATCTCGAAACCAACGAAAGAATTTTACAAAGATAAAAAAAAAAAAAAAAAAAAAAAAAAACCGTGTCCGCGTGTAGTAACGTTCTGCAAAATAGTAAACTACAGGAACAAATGAAAACATGTCTATAAAAATAATGTTAAAAAAGTGTTGGAATCACGAAGTCGTCATCATGCTGCCATAATCATTTTCATGTAGAGCCTAATGAATATAGTACCATTCTTAATAGTCTGATAAAGAAATGGTGGCATTGACTTTTGGTGTAACAATGATGACAAATAAACCTACCCGCTTTTTCTCCTCCCTCTGCATATGGCTATGTACAACGATTAATCATTGTTGAGTTGAGACATCACGCACAATTGATTACAGCCACAACCAGCTGGATTTGTGGTTCAACGCATTTAATTCTACCAAAACACCATTTTCGGGTCCTTAAACTATTTACACACCACACAATTTAAAACCAAAAGGAAGAAACTGCACCAACTTGTAAGGGCCAGGTACAACCCAACACTTGTCACACTAAGATAAGGTGTTAAATGCATGCCATGAATAATGATAAATAAACCCAATTTCATCAATTGTCATTAAAATTATCATCTGATTTAGCCTCTGGTTAAAGCATAGACTATTAAAATTATCATAAAGCATGTTCAAACAGATACTATTATATATATATATATATATATATATATATATATATATATATATATATATATATATATATATATATATATATATATATTTAGATAACAATTTATAGAACTTATGTTAGAATCTCTTGTGATGAAGAAAAGAGACAAACAAAAAAGCTTGGTCCTTTTGATCACCCCACAAAGTTACTTAAAAAAACAAATAAAAGGATCGGTCTACTAAACCAAAAACAGCAATGCTGATAGATCAAAATGACTTGGAATACATCAGATTAAGAAAACTGGAGCATACATCATGATCAACTTCATTTACAAAACAGCAGAATGAATGCCTTTTGACTTTTTTTTCACTTAGGCACATAGAAAGAGAGAAGGAGAAAAAACAAGTGAGGAGCAATTAGTGTAAAACCACTTCTCAATCAGACACACCATTAAGCCACTACCAAAACCTAAACAAAACCTTGCATCAGCCAGAAGACAGTTAACATTAACAAAAATGCAATAAAGAAAACATATACACACGTTAGCCGAGCAAAACTTGACAGGTATGCTGACATTTGGGCACAGCATGAAGGATCCAATCACCAAGAGAACCCTTCTATTAGCTTAGCAAACAAGAGATGATCTCAAAGATGTAGGTACTTGAGTGCATGATGACCACCGGATGACTGATTCAGTCACCACAAGGTCAAGTTGCTCACACTCACCAAGTCCAATTGTCCTGTTTCTCTTACTGTGGATTCCCAGTACCTTGTGTCCATTCATTCCACTTGACCTTTTAGCGTCTACAGTCTTGCGATTCGTTTCTTTAATATTATGTTCAATGCAAAGTTGAGAATCTTGAAGTAAAAGTATCTTTCCCATGTTAGATTCTGCAAAAACTTAAAAACAAGATCAGACCAAGAAGCTAGAAAATAGTGAGGAAGGTTAAAATAAAAGACTTTAATGCATACCTCCAGTAATTGCATTTACACCTGATATGTTAGCTGGACACTCTAATTTACAACTCTTGTGTTCAACAACGGGAGAGGGGCTGAGGAATGAAAAGCTAAGCATCGAGGGAATGGGAGAAGAGAATTCCAAACCAGAGGAATCACCTACACTCTTGAATGAAAAGCCACCAGAGAGTAGACATGGTGAAACTGATTCTTCCAGAAAAGAAGAAAACGACGATCTGCATGTGAAAGTAGGTGATTGAGCATCACAAGTAGGTGAGCCGGTGGCGCCAAAGCTGATGTCCTGATTCCTGGGCATGAAAGAAGCAGAGAATGAGCTGCCACCAACATCCCATTCTTGGCAACTTTCGATTTGATTTTCACGTAGTTGTTCTGGATTTGTTTGGTTGCTTTCCATCCAACAATGATCTAGGGAGGGAAAATTGAGATGAAGATTAGAAACACATTCATTTGATTTTTCTTTTCTTCTTAAAATAATAGAGTTTTGAACAGGCATCCCCTACATGGCATAGTATGATGGATTTCATACCAAAAATAACCCCTTTCAGTTTTACTAGTTTTTTGTGTATAAGAGCACATTGTCAAATTTCTTTTTGGTCTTACTGCATAATTTTAGTATATTTTTGGTTTTACTGCATAACTTAATGCTTCAGTTAAGTTATCAGGCATTCAATAGATACTAACGATAATTTTATGTTCAATTTTTTAATCTACATAACAACTGAACTGTCATTACCGCAAAATGCTCTCTTATGGCCAATGTTAACTCTAAACAAAACAACTTCAGTAGATAGACATTAATAAGAGGGGAAAAAAAAGTAAATTTACCTAAAACCTCTAGGGCAGTGAGTCTACGAGAAGGGTCTGTGCAAAGCATTCCCCTGATCAAATCCTTAGCTGATTCAGAAATTCGATCCCAAGGTTCCGATGGAAACTTCAGGGAAGCAGCTTTGACAGCCTCAAAAATCCGTGATTTAGTCTTCCCCCAAAACGGAGGCGTCCCACTCAACAGAATGTAAAGAATTACACCTGCACTCCACACATCAGCAGCCTGGTTATATGCACCAGCTAATACCTCTGGGGCTATGTAGAATGGACTCCCAACTAAACCGTGCAAACTTTGACCTGCTTAAACATATGAAGATGAACACCAGATACGCTCATAGGAGCAACCAAAACCGAAAAGATTACAATCTGCAAAGTGAAAAGGAAGAAAAGAAAGAAGTACCAGGCTTGATGTAGGTTGCTAGTCCAAAATCTGCCAATTTAATAGGAGATGAAGAGGATCTTGTTGCTAAGAGAATGTTCTCGGGCTTCAAATCTCTATGAACAACCCCGTTTTCATGACAATACAAAACCACCTGCATAAGGTGCCTAAAGAGAACCCTGGCTTCTGATTCTGAAAACCATCCGTGCTTCTCTAATCGGTGAAAAAGCTCTCCTCCAGCACATAGCTCCATCACCAAGTGAACAAAACCTTCCTCTTCATAAACAGCTTTGAGATCCACAACATTGGGATGCCCAGACAGCCTAGCCATTATCTCTATCTCAAGTTTGACACTCCTTAAATCATCCGAAGTAACCAACCTATCTTTAGCAATTGATTTGCAGGCCAAAACCTCTCCTGTTAACTTGTCAGAACATGCCCTTATGACACCAAACTGCCCCCAACCCAATTGCTCGCCGAGGACGTACCGATCTTTTAAATTAGAGACTTGACTTGTGTCTAATATGGTCTCACTCAAGCCTGCTACTTTGTAACAATTGTATGCTGTACAAGGTTCATGACTGCTGTTGCTCTTGGCAACAGCCATACCAATTTCCTCCTCCCTCCTCAACAAACCAAGAAATCTAAGTAACTATTTAATTTGCGTGCCTAAACAAAACTCTTTTTGAATAGTTGAAACTTGCTCTTCAGGGGACAGAACCAGCTTTGGCACCGGTGTCAACCTTTGATTTTTCTCACTTACAAACCAAAACCCTCCATTCTGAGTCAAGATCGTTGAAGAAACTTAAGGGGGGGTTTATATTTAACAAAGTAAACACAACGTATGACACACGGTAGCATGAATCTGAACCAGTCAGGTTTCGGGACCACTTTTCTCCCTTTCCCAAAATCACTTGATCTGCAAAAAATAACAATGAGACTCACATGAACCACTTCGCAATAAAAAAATAAAAAATTTAAACATGTTCATAGCAAAAAAAAAAAAAAAAGCTCTTATTTACACCAATCACATGACTCAGATCACAAGTCACAATAATTTGAAGATTGAACCTTCCCCAGCTTCAAATTTCACAAACAAAATTAGTGATTCTAGAACTAGCAGGTACACCCCCACAAACCCAACTGAAAACAAATAAAAAATCATTTTTTTATGCCACCAACAGAAAATTCCAACCCAAATCACCTCCATGACAGACACGCACGATCCTCATAACTCCAAAATGTCAAACACAAGCCTAGAAGGCAAAACAGCGCAGAAACAACAGTACAAGCGAAAACATCACAGACCCAGGGGAGCCCACGCGAAACCAGACAACCCCAGATCCAAGCAGGGCACAGAGGACTCACCGGCTACAAAGAGAAAGGTTAAAAAGTGGAGAAAGATGGTGTGAGGAGAGAGAAAGAGGCCGTTGGAGCAGTGGTTTGAAGGAAGAGCGAGCAACCAACCAGGGGCTCCAAGGGGACCTCTTGGAGCCTGAATCCAAACAAAACACACACACCAATAACAGTAACACCAACCTGCTTTGTTTGGTTGTGTCTTTTTGAAATTGAAGGCTCCTCCTCGGATGCCAACACCTATTTCTAATTCAATTTAATGAATCTCCTTCCATTTCACATACATTGTTATTACCACATCTTCTATTTATACATAATTATTCTTCTATTAAAAATCACTACAAATTAGTTTTATTTCTAAGATTAAATCTACTTTTTATAATTACCATTTTTTTAATTAAAAATATATAGGTATTACGTAGAGGATTGCTCTGTTATTTTTGGTGAGATTTTAATTTAAAATTAAAACCATAAAATTCATTTAATATTTTTATTCATATATCTTTTGGATATAGATATCATAATCTTATATTATTTTATTTCTATAAATCAGGATTAAATAAAGTAATTTCTAATTATGCATTATTTTATACAACTTATACAAACCTATAATTTATCTAATCAAATATATGTATCTCAACACTCTCCCTCAAGTTGGTAAATGGATGTCATACATTCTCAACTTGTCCAACAATCTCTTAAAAATCTGACTTGTCACAATTTTTGTAAGAATGTTTGTGAGTTGATCTTCATATTGAATATTTAGAAATTCCAACATATTTTTATCAAGTTTTTCTTTAATTAAAAATCTATCAACCTCTATATATTTCATTCAATTAGGTTGGACAAGGTTGTGAGCAATGTTGCGCGCAACTTTATTATCATAATACACCCATCAGTATCCTACTGATTTCTTTCTAACTGGACAATCTATCAATTCCCATGTTTTATTTCTTTACAAGGATCTCATTTCTTCATTCATAGTATCCTTCCACCTGGAGTCGGCTAAAGCTTCTTGCACACTGTTAGGAATAGATACAGTAGATAATTGACTTATAAATGTGATATTTGAGTTAGACAAATTCTGGTTACAAATATAATTACTCATAGGGTATCTTGTCTTACTGGTGAGGTCAGGATCATAAATAGGCTTAGGGATACCTCTATTGACATGATATGGTAGAATTATTTTTTCTGTATTAGGTTTTTGAGGGGACGATTGGTGTGGTATATCATTAGCATCAATAGGCAAATTTTTGATCTTGATATGCTCAAATTCTTCCTCATTATGTGGTTGTTGATCATCACATTGTTGCACACTTTCATCATCTCCTAATACAACTTTGTAACTTCCTTTCTCCAATCTGACTTCAGTATTAATTTCTTGAGCAACAAAAGTCTGAACTTCATCATAATTTTCCTCCTGAATTTCAAACGCAAGGGAAAAATATATCAAGGTCTCATGAAAAACTACATTTATAGTAGTAAACATTTGCTTGGTTTATGGATTGTAGCACCAATATCTTTTTTGGTGATCCGCATAGCCAAGGAATATACACCTTTCAGCTCTAAGAGACAACTTACTTCTCTAATGCTTATGTAAGTGAACATAAGCAATACAACTAAAAACTCTATGTGTTAGTTCAGTAATTCTATGACTTACTATTGTATCTGTAAGTGATTGAAAATGTGTTTTATACTCAAGAGACCTAGAGGATGTTCGGTTGATAGTATATACTGCATATGTGAGAGCTTCTCCCTAATATATTGTTGGCATGTGAGCTCCAATCAGTGCAGCTCAGAACACCTCCAATAGATGACTGTTCTTTTGTTCTGTCACCTCATTCTGTTGTGGAGTATTTGGACAAGATCTCTGATGAATAATTCCTTTGGCTACTAAAAATTGTTGAAGTTCTGATTGCATATATTCTCCTCTGTTGTCAGTGGGCTGTACCTGAACTTGTGTTTTGTACTGGGTCTCAATCATTTTGCAGAATTTCTGAAATAGTCCTTCAACTTCACTTTTAAATTTCATCAAACATAACCAAGTCATTCGAGTACAATAATCGATAAACGTTACAAACCACGTTGAGTCACCCAACATTGTAACCTTAGATGAACTTCATACATCAGAGTGAATGATCATAAAAGGAAAAGAACTTTTATTTGAAATTAAAGGAAAATATGTTCTGTGACTCTTTGCGAACTCACAAACATACAAAGTTGAAGTGTCTACTTAGTCAAACACATTTGTAAACAATTTCTTTATGTAACTAAAAGATGCATGTTCTAGACGTTTATGCCATAACCAAATACCTTTTCTCATTTTTTACCTTTTTGTTACTAGTACTTGATCAATTCTCTTTGAATTTTTTTCTGTCAGGTCCAGGTAATACAACTTTCATCGCCTAATACCACAACTAATCATCTTCCTCGTTTGAATGTCCTTAAAAACACAAGAGTCAGACCTAAAAATTACAACACATAAAAGAGTTTTGGTTATTTGCTTGACTGACAATAGGTTATATTCAAGATAAGGAACAATAAGGACAATAACAAGGTTCAAATTGTTTGAAATAGAGACAGTTCTTTCTCCAATGATAGTGGATTTACTACCATTGGTTATGGAAATACTTTTTTGTGATAAATGTTTAAGATTTTTAATCTGTCTAACATCAAAAGTCACATGATCAGAATACGCAGAGTCAATTATCCATGCATTATTCAGAGGTAGATGTGCTTATTAAGGTCTTACCATTGAAATCATCACTACCTGCGGTTGTAGTAAGCATCATGTCTTTGTCGTCCTCTTTGTCAATGACAATTATAATAGCAGTTGGATTTCTTTTTGAATTCTTCTTCGATGCTCGATTGTGATCCCACCACTTGGGGTATCCCATGATTTCATAACATCGTTCTTTGGTGTGTCCAACCTTATTACACTGAGTACACTTATAGTTTCCTTTTTCAGGACCTTTTGATTGCTTCGCTTGCTTCCTTGTCATCATAGCTGTTGAATAAAAAATCATATCTTTTATTTTCAACGTTGTTCGTTGGGTTGTCTCTCTCTGGATCAATGCATAACATTCTTCTAAATCAGGTGTCACTTCTTTGTGCAAGATTTCTCCACGAACTTGCTCAAAATCATCATCCAGTCCAGCAATGAATATATGCACCATCAATCTTTCAATAGACTTCTAATATGACTTCACATCATTAGGGTCTTTTATGACTACTTTGTCACAATGGTCCAAATCCCTAAAAATCTCAATCAACTCCCCATAATATTCAGTTAGGATTTTATTATTTTGTTTTGCAATGAATGTCCTTTGATTCAAGACGAACACATATAGTTCATCACTTCCATCATAAAATGTCTTTGACAAAACATTCCAAATATCGAGGACAGTGGGTAAGCGAAGATACATTTTCATGATTTATGGCTTCATGGACATTAGTAACCATATTTTCACTTTTTGGTTTTCAGCATACCATTTTTCATATTCCTCATCTTTCTTTGTTGGATGTTTCACCTTTCCACGGATGTAGGATAATTTTTTCCTCTCTGCAATGTGCATCTCCATTAATTGTTATCATACGTCATAGTTTAATTCATTTAGGATTGTGCCTATGTTGAAGACATCTTCAGATTGAATTACCACCTGAAATTGATTTTTTGTCATCTCTCCATTTTAGATATCCAACGATAAAGAAAAAATTCTAAGCTCGATACCAAATTGAAAAACATAGAATTCATTATATATTTTTATTCATATATCTTTGGAATACAAATACTATATTCTTATAGTATTTTACTCCTACAAATCAAAACTAAATAAAGTAAGTTTTTATTATGTATTATTTTATACAATTATACAAACATATAATTTAACTAATCAAATATCTTTATTTCAACATAAACTATATTAACTTTTCATCGCTAAATCATGATCTAAGTGGATTAATATAATTTAAATTTTAAATTAATATAAATAATATTATAAAAATATCTTCATTATTGATAACTTTTTTAAAAATTATTTGAAGAAAACAAATAGGAATAAAATAAAATGAAAATATTTGGACAACTAAAAATATCAACTACATGTATACATAAAAGAATAATAACATGATATTGTTAAGAGAACAAATAATCTAGTTGTAGAACTATTATATCTTTTTATATAATAATAATAATAAGATTCGAATATAATACGAATAGTGTAAATAACTTACTTTTAATCCACAAAATAGTTATTTATTGTTATACATTTATGACGGAAAATTAATTGATTCATAATTAAAATTTTACACTAAAATTGACCACTAAGTAAAAAAGTATTAATTAAATGTCAAACGAATCTTAATGAGAAAAGACTGATAATATTAAAATGAATAAACGATAATTTCACGTTTTAAGTTATACTGCTATGTTAATTTACAATTAGAGAAGCAAATTACCATATGAATTTAATTAAAATATAAAAAAATTTACATTAAGTATTTAATTATAATTATTAAGTATCGGAAGTTCGTTAATTTTATAATCATTGATTAAGAATCAAGAATTTTAATGAATTATGAGTGCAGATAAATAAGTCTTACTACATCCATACAGTTAGTTAGTTTTAAGAGCCATAATTTTGTATTAATTATGAGTGCAGAATATTAAAATAATAATTATATAAGTAAATATATATTTTCTTACGATCATGGATAGTTTTATTTTGAAAATTTTTAATTTAAAATTTTTAATTTATTTTATATTATAATAATAAATAATTAAAATTTTATATTAAAATAATAAATACATTTATTAATAATAATAAATATTTTATCTTTCACTCATTTTTATTTTTTAATTTAAATAACTCCACTTTCTTTCTTTTTTTCTTTTTTCACCCCTTCCTTTAAATCCACTGTTAAGCTAATCAAGAGCTAAATATGAGTACAAGTTAAAAATTTTAATGCAAGTTATGTTCGTAGGATAGCATACTGGGATAGAAATCACTTACTACAACAACGTAGCCACTGAATTGTATGATTCTTAGGTAAT